GCAGCATGCAGTATGGTGGGAGAGGCAGGTTTGTTGACTCAGTCGGATCTTGGGATAGCCCGGAGCGGTCGTAGACAAAGTAGCTAGCTCTCTATTACAGTCCGAACCTCCTATCCAAAATAATAATAAAAATACTAATAATAATCCAGTTATGTAGTTCTATGTACAAGCACTCTTTGAGCATGAGAGGAGGCCTGTAAGCAAAAGATGTTCGAGCTACCGGGGGAGCCTTTGAACAAGCCTGGTGTTAGTAGCATTAGCTTAATTTGGAAGATAGACGAGATAAACAATTGAAGTTCCCCAGGAGGAGTGAGACAACTCCGGCTAGGCTAACCGGTGCTAGCCTCGGTCAGCTGTAGTAAGCTGGCGAGTGACGTGGGACATGGGATCCTTCATATTTCTACAAGGACTGAGACTGTAAATTATTCGGTGAGTGACCACAGAAAACGGTATTTCTGCGCTGCTGGGAAGCTCTCTGGTCCAGGCTTCGCTGCTGGCCTTGGAAGTTAGCAGACGGCTAATAGCTTCACGTCTGCCTTTCCACTAGGGTAAGTGTACAGTCGAATTAATGTTACTATGGTTGGTTTATTGTTAAATATATACAACTTTGGTCCCAGTAAGTCGATTAGAGCTGCTGTATATTGGCATATGTATTTGAATCTTACAGCAATGTTTATCGCTAGCTGAAAAAGATTGCTAGCAACAAGTTGGGAGTCAGTTAACATCAGCTAACCGCAAAGTTCAAGGCCTTGATTGGATGTAAAATAAGTTTTTATTTCATTCCTGGCCTGGTTTGTTAAGCTTTATCGTTCCTAATATGTATTAAAGTCATCCATATCAACATCCTGCGTTTAGAAAGTACCGAATGGTGATATTGGTACTTTGTAATTCATATTATTCCAGATATAAATACTCTATTTTTAACAAAACCGAACGAAAAGCAAGTATTTGGGTGAAAATGTATCCGCTAGTAAGATACATTTTAAAGCTGCGTTGTGTCTCTGATACACTTCACAAAGCTGAGCACATCATCAACTTATTGTCAGTTTTTATTATGTTTTCAATGGAAAACATTTAGGATGTGACACCTTGATACAGTATATAAAGACAGAAAATCTCGCAATTGTGCTCAAAGTGTTGATATAGTGTGGTCACCATTATTTTCTGCCTCATCTGTCTGGAGCATGGGGTTCACTAGAGCCTGACAGGTTGCTAGTGGAGTCCTCCATGATGACATGTGCTCCTCCACCTTTCATTTAAATGCGGGTTTAAGTCTGGAGACACACTTGGCAAATTTAGTACCTTTACCCCCAGTTTCTTTAGCAAGATGGTGGTCCTCTTGGAAGTGTGTTTGGGGTCATTATGTGGGAGTACTGCCTTGTAGCTCAGTTTCTGAAAAGGGAGGGGATTCATGCTCTGTTTCAGTATGTCACAATGCATATTGTGATTCATGGCTCCTTCAGTGGACTGAGGCAAAAACACTCATGCTGCCCCCAAACCATCAAACTCTCACCATGTTTGGCAGTAGTTCCCTTTATTTTTTAAACTTTACTCATTTTCTACCAATGTGCCCCAAACCATAGGTCTTTCTTGGTCTCATCAGAAAACTCGTTTTACCCTGTTTTCAGAATTTCTTGTGGTTAATCTTCTGAAGAAGCTTCCTTTTGGGACAAAAGCCATGCAGATTAATGGGAATTTATGCTTGTGACGCATAGCCTCTGCAATCGTCAAATCTGTCTCTGTGCTCGACCACGCACCCCCGTGCAGAGGTTCTGCAACCATCGTCACACACCTCAAAAAAATCCTGACTACGCGTCGGGTGGTCGCAAACCCGCGCAGACCTCAAGCTGAAGTGTGCAGATGAAAAGCAGCTATGATTGGTCCTTGGTATGCCTTTCCGGCTGTCTGTGTGGCAGTCCTTCTCGATTCGGTGCCGAGACGCGCCATTTCTAAAAACCGAGCAACAACTACAATGGACAACTACGACGAAAGGTTAATGGAGGAGGTCCGGAAGTACAACCACTTGTACGATGCCTCATACAAATTATATAAAAATGTCAAGGTCTCTGCCAAATTAAAGTTCTCGTGACCATCCGCCGAAGTTCTCGCAGGTTCTCGAATAGGCTCCCCCTTGCGCTTTGGCGGGAAACTGCTGTGCGTCCCTAGAAATTCCAGACCGACGTTGAAGAAGCATACCAGCAAAACTGATTCGTGACTAGATGCAAGCAACATTTGATGTTTGCGGTTGCAGAAGTCTTATCTGCCCTTTAGTTTGATGCATTCCGGGGCCTCCCCACCCCTTCAGCGTCCGCAGTTTTGCTTGTAGCACTCATACTATTTTCAAAAACCACAATTTTTCTATGATGCTGAGCGGGGAATGCAATTTATCTGTTAAGTTAATCTAAAGTTGACTTATATTATTGCCCGACTAACACTTAATTGACAAGTTTCCATTTTCTTAAAAACCTGAATATTCTCTTGTATCAAGAGACACAATTTATGCTTGTTGTGTTAAATACTGACTAAATAACAAAAAAACTAGTTTTCTTATACATTGTTAGACATATCAATAGAATGCAACAAAACAGAGATAGGCTACCAAAAGAAAATTCTAAAAAATGTAAAATACTCATAATCCCCCATAAACAAAGATGTAAAACTATAATTTAGACAGTGTATCTCTGACATACTGTCACTTGTTACTTACTGTCAAAACAACATTCTGTGGTGGGAGCTTCACTCTGTGCTCTTATCCATGCTTCTAAACAGGTGGTTATGGTGGAAACTTTGGCCTATGAAGTGCATTAAACCACAAGAGTCCAAACCATGCCAAGTGGTACCATGTCTTTTTCTATCATCTTAGAAATGTTTTGGAAAATGCCGTCCTCTTCACATCTTCAACTTCTTTGCACATTTGTCATTTTCTGTTTAGGGGTTGACGCTGCCCTGCCGTGCAGCATTACAGAATTGGCGCTATATAGGTGATAACTAAGGGAGCTTTTTGAGTGTTTACATCCACAAACAGAACCATATAAAGTGTGTTACTCTCTATGGGTTTGTTCCAGTTTAGTGAAGCATAAGAACTAAAGGCTGAAGCTCCGTGTTTGGTTCTGGGTATGGAGAGAAAGCTTCAGCCAAAGACCTGAGAAGTCTGGGGGGTTGATACACTGATAAGTCTGTAATGTATTTTGTAGCTAAACCATACCATGTCTGACTGAGTTATTTCAAAGTCTTCTCTCTGAAATACGGGGAGCCAGTGGAACGACTTTAGAAGTGGGTTGATATATAATTTTTTCCAGATCCTTTTGAGACATTAGTCCTTTAATCCTGATGTTCTTTATGTGCTAGAAGGCTGACTTGGTTTAGCTCTGTGTGCTTCTGAAGGTTCAGGTCTGTCCATCTCTACACCCGGATTTTGAGTCTTTATTAGCTAAAGCTTTGTGCTAACTTTTAAGCACACTTTTTTTTGGTCCAAAAATTATTTCTTCAGCCTTGTTTTGTTTCAGCTGCAGCAAAGTTTGCTCCATCCATGCATAGATTTATTTTATGCATGTATCCAGGTTCATAGTCAACTTATGATATTGCAATATATAGCTGTGTGTTGTCTGCATAATTACTGTAACCTATGTTGGTGTTTATTAATTTCTGAGTTACGGGAAGCATGTAGGTATTCAAGAGGAAGGGCCCTTAGATGTACCCTTGGGCAACGCCACGTAGGATTTATGGGGTCTCTGATGTAAAGTTTCCTAATGACACTAAAAAAGACCTGTTCTCTAAGAAGTCCTTCACATTACTCTCAATTAACCTTTCAAACACAACTTCATTTTTTTTTTTTTCATTGTAATCATATACTGATAGTTTATCGAACTATGGAGATTGGAAACATAATTTTTAACTTTATATCCACAGAGTTTCATCAGATGCAGCAGATTGGGGTTTATATCTTTTCTAGTGTTTAGTTGTATTTTGATTTCCTGTTTACAATTGTTAAATTCCCCCAAAGTTTGTCTGCCAAAGAAAGAGATTTCCAGATTCTGCTTTTACTTTAGGATCCATGCTCTTTGTCGGTTCGCTAGATGCTAGCCACAAGCCATTTCAGTCACACTGAAAATAGGAAGAATGCTCGTCCTGCAAAGCATTCCCTTTTTATGGGGGAGGAGTTCCTTTTCTAAACCGTCAACTCGTTCTCTCTTCCAAACTGTTTAGGGTCATTTGCAAAACATCCCACAGGTGATGTAAAATAAAGAAATGAGCCCAACGAGATTAAAGATTTAGGATGCAGATGGAAAACAGTGATTAATTTTTTAATCCTACTCATATTATTATTAGCTGCTATTAACAACTCACCAAATTTGAAGTGAGGTCAGGAGATACTGAAAAAGTCTCCAGAATTGCTGCTGTTCTCTGTTGTGGGACGGTTATTCTTCTTACAGATGTTGGACACAGTTCAGTATAGTTAAATAACAAACATTCAGAATTTTACAAAATTATGAAATTGTGGAATGCAAATCTCCATGCTACACTAAGAAAAGAAACTCATGACTGCATTTCATTATGGTTGCTCATGGAATTAGATTTACAGATTTATTAACCCTTTTTCTAGACAATAGTTCTTCTGTGCTGAAGCTTTATGCAACATTTTCCAGCAATGCAGCATTTCATACCATACAGCCCCATCGTTCTATTAGATTTAGATCTAGGGCAAGTAGCCACTCTCAGTCCCTTCTCATTTTCTTTTCTGTCCCCCATTTAGGTGCATGTTGCTGATGGCTTCCCCGCCAGCTATGGACACTGTGACTGACTCGTGCCCCACGGTACACCAAAATGGGACCGCCCATCGAGAATCTTCAGACACAAGACAAGCTGCTCCTGTTCTGAGGCTTCATTTCTACCACAGCAGCCAGGGAGCAGCCGAAAGCAGCTTCCTCAGCTACCCACCTGGGGACTATGTGGCTGAGGAGCTGTGTATAGATGCAGCCAAGGCGTGCTGTGAGTACTCCAAACTGTCCGAACCCCCATGAAGCACTCCAGTTGTGAAGATTTTTGCAACCTGCACTTCATCATATTCTTTTTCATGCTCAGATATTATTTTGAATCTGTTTATGCATAAATAAAACATAATGTAGGTTTAGCAGTGCAAGCTGTGAGTCAGTGCAAATGTGGTGTTGCGTATGAACAGTAGGGCTGTGTGGTGTTTGTTGGCGGAGGGGGGCAGAGACTAGATATACCTGCATGTCATGTGTTTAATAGTAAACCAAAACACAACTGACATTTTAGACAAACTTTATTGACCTTATTTTCACCTGTATTGGTACTTTAAACAGTAGTTTTTCTGGCGCATGTCTTGAGACTTTGATAGTTAATTTTCTCAATGCCCCTCATTGAATAGCTTAATAGATTGCGCCACTGCAGATCTTGTAATCGATCTGATCGTTCAGGTCTCAGTATGAACTGTAGCACAAACATACAATTAATTGTATAGGGTTTAGTTTAGTTTAGTCTTATTTTATTTTTTTTTATCCTTCAGGTATATCACCCCTGTACTACAGCCTTTTTAGCCTTTTCCGAGAGGGTGAGAGCACGTGGTTTTCTCCCAACCACATCTTCCGACTTGATGAACTGGCTTCTGAAGATCTGTTTTTCAGAATACGGTAGCACGCTTAATTACTTCCTTTTTTCCCCATGATAGTTTTTCTGTATTCTCCAAATATCATTGTGACTTGTATGGCTCACTGCAGGTACTACTTTCCTGGCTGGTACAGTAATGGGGCATCGCGGGCTTATCGATATGGTGTCAAAAAGGGGTCAGAGAGTCCTGTCCTTGATGATAATGTAATGTCCTACCTCTTCTCTCAGGTGAGTGCATTTTTGTAGCCCTTTATATTACTTCAAAAGGTGTTTTTATATGAATGCAAAATACACAAGAGCATGGAATGTCTCCATAATGTCAAGTATTGTAGATTTGAAATAAGCAGTATTAGTTGTTTAAAATATCAGTGGTTGCTATAGTTGTTTCAATGAGTTACTGCAGAGTATTGTATGGTGGAATTTTATTCAGTTCGAATTGATTCTCGATTCTGATTACCATTTGTAAATGAGGTGTTTAACCAGAGTTCTGTCTGGATTACATCTGTAATCCTGAGTCCGGCGATGTTTAATCATGGATTCAATCGTGGATTCTTCTCCACTGTCTTTCAGCAGACCTGGCATCAAAACTTCTAAATTGAAAATAAAAGATGTTAACGATTCCATGGGGAAGTGAACAAAGAACAACCCACGCTATGTGAAAGAAAAATATATTTAACACATGTTCTATTTATTGGATTAGGAAACCTCACTTCTGACAGTAATTGTTGATACTTGCATGGAAAATGTACCTTAGTTAGCAAAAAGGCTGTCCGCATTATTACAGTCAAATCTTAGCTGGATAATAAAGGGTCATTCTGTTCTATTTAAGCATCAGTTAGATGTTTAAATCGTTCAACAATGTCTTATTTTTTACCTTTTTAATTAGTGAAGCTTTTTCCTGATGAATTTTATCTTCCTGGTGAAGATAAAATTCTGTCTTGTCTTTGTTTTTTCTGTAAAAAAAAAAAAAAAAATCTCTACAGAATCTCAATGTTATTTGTAAATGTAGGCAAAGACTATTCAAATCCATCTCACTTTTTGATATTATTCTAAAAAAAAAATCAGTTAAGGGTGTGTTGTTGTTGTTTTTTTCCCCTCATATTTTTAAAGTCAAGCTGGATATTTAAACCGATGATTCACAATCCTGCTTCCTTCATATTCCCCAAAAGAGCATCTAGAAATGTCATTCTACCTTGGTGAAGAATTTTATGCTCTTCGTTTAATTGTATTTCCCCAAGTCAGGATTTTAACAAATTAAATTTGTACAGCTAGGATTCAAATGGGATTTAAAGATAGGGGTGTTTCTTTAAATAGTCATCAACTATTTATTATTTGTTGAAAAGTAGCAGTTGGGTTCTTGGTGAACACAATTTGTACACCATGAGCACAGTGCAAATGTGATATATTTTAGAATCCTTGTTAGATAATTGTACGTTTAAATGGGAAAATGCCCCAAAATTTGACTTTTACAGAAATAATGTGCTTATGGATCTAACTTAAGATGTTAGCTCCCCTGAACAAAAAGTTTATTATTATTGCAGCATTCACACTGAAATGTGTCTCTGAAGGCCATGATAGGTAGAGATGTTCTCATAGAAACAATCCGCTGTGTGAATGCAAACACCCCCCATAAAAATCTATTTCGTGTCTTTAGTGCATAGGGGCAATGGACCCCATGCACTAAAGCAGTGCATGGGGTGTTGCCAACTCAGCAACTTTTCAGACCCCTCCAGCGACTATTTTTCAAAAAAGCGACTAGCGACAAATCTGGCGACTTTTTATGGTGTCACTGGCGGCTTTTGGAGACTCTTACGTGAAAGCATGTATCGTTCCTACTCTGCCGTGGGGCGCCTCCCCCATCCCAACCCCGTTCTCCCGCTCCCGCAGGAGTCCCTCTCAGCGCTGCAGTCAGAGGATGTTTACCCTCAGCGTCCAGACTGCAAATGAAGCGCGCATGCACCGGGATTGACGGCGCAAATTGATCACAATATTTAAAATAGCCTGCGCTTTGTAAAGCGAAAAAAGTCGTAACATGCAACTTTTGTCAAAACAAATGAACATGGCACGGAAGCACCACTGTTATGATGCAGCACCTGAAAAGAAAACACGTTGGAGCCTTCAATGGCAGTGAAGAGAGCTGATCAGCAGGATGAGCGACCATGTTTGTTTCGTTTTAAAGTGGGGAAACGTAACGTTAGTTTCTCAGGTAGCTCATCTGATGCTTTCCTTACCGTGTTAGTAGGTTACAGACAGTGATAAGGTTGCCTACTTATTTTACTTTTAATTTCATTTGAATTAGCTTAAGCAGCGTTTATATTTTCTTTATAAATAAATTAACTTGCAAATTATGAGGGCAAGGCTTTTAAAGTTTAAATCTTCTGGCAAAGATAAAGTAAAGAAGATCCTGCAATTTATGGAAGTAAAGCAGAATAAAATCCAGCAAGATCAGTAATATGTCAATTAATTATATGCCACATTCCCATGTAAATATCTGTCTTTGGAGGATGTGTTTTTTAGCACCCCTAGTTCTCTAATTTTTCATACAATTAATTTGAATCACAGGGCTATTTTTATCTCTATGGTTAAGTATTTTCTCAAGCAGCAACTTTAACTGCTATACTTTCCTGTCTTAAAAGGCAGAACTCTTCTAGTCTAAAAAAACTCATTTGTTGGAATGGGGGGGCCTATTGTTTGAACCCCTTAGGGGCTTTTAAAAACAAAAATGTCTTTTTTTGCACTTTATGAAACAAAGTACCCTATATTTTGTGGTTGTACAGCTATATTTCTCATGTAAGTTTGCGTAGTTTTAACACAAACATTTATTTTTCATATTGCACCAGTACAGCTAATGAGCAACCTGTACTTGTGTGCTTGTTTGTTCTGTCTAAAATGTTTATTTTGGAATAAAGAGGTTACTATAAAAAATATTTTTTGTCCGATTCATCGATTAATCGAAAAAATAATCGGCCGATTCATCGATTTTTAAAATAATCGTTAGTTGCAGCCCTATTTGCACCTCAGATGCTCAGGGAAAGAGAGTGAATCCATGTGAACTTCTGTTCTCACAAGAACAACTTCCCTAGCATGAGCCATAGCTTTGTGTAGCAAATAGCGTGAGTGTATTTTTGCATTAAGCCCACACTGTACCAGGATCACAGCCACACCTTTGTCGGTGTGAGCCTGGTGTAAAGTTGAAAGCAGCCTGAACTTTAGGAGTATGTTGAGTAGAAATATATTATACTATCTTTGGGTAAAATAAATCGATGTCTGTGTTAGCTCTTTGACCCTTCTCACAGGCTAATTCACACATTGCTCGTTTGCACCTGTAAAACCAGCATATCTGCTTCCGTTAGTTGTGGCCAGATGTTAACCACTTTTATTGCTTTGTGGAAACAGCAGATTGAAGAAAAGTCAACATTAAAGACAGTCTTTTGGTTTTCTGTCTGTAACATACCGGCATCCTGATTGAATTACTTTAAATTGGAATGTCATAGGAGCAAATTACAATCTAACTGGATTGACGTAAGAGTTGCTTTTTAGGTAAACCTAAATTAATGTATTTCTTTCAACCAAATTAGGGGCCAGGCTTTCATGTTTATGATTAAAGTAAGTTGTTGCAAGAAGTTTGTTGCGTTATATCTTAAATTGGGGGGAAAAGCAGGAGTAAAATCAGGAGCTTTTTGTTATAGCATTTGTTATAGAAAGACCTTTGCAAATTTTTTGTAACAATAATTAAATCAATTAGTTTAGATCCTGACAGTCTGGAATTAAGACCAGTGTAGGTGTGAAAATAGAGACGGAGAGGGAGAAATCATCCCCTTTGTAGTTCTAGTCTGTTTAGTGTTCACATCGACTTATTAAAGTCAAAACAAAAGTTGCAAATGTGACGTCAGGTAGACTGATAGGAAGCTCATTCATTGGTTAGTTGTGGTTAGCAGCCATCTTACAGCGTCATGTGGGCCTGCAGGGGGAAAATCAAAACAAAGTTGGTTCTAGTGACTGCAAGCACGTCATGTCGTACCTCTTTCCAAGTCTTATTTATTTACCACTTGGATCAAAAAGGCTTTAAAGGTGCAGAGAAATTCCTGTCTTTTAAAGACAGAAATTTCTGCATGTATTCCTTACACTGTGCTCTGATTTTCAACACTGAGCAACAGTCCAGTTCTTTTTTCTCCTTAGCCCAGGTTAGAAGCTTGGGCCCATCTGCAGGATTCACTTATGGGTATTGCACATTTTCTAACCACACCTTTTTCTTTCATTCAGCTTTCTGTAAACCATGACATTCTGAGTCAGTGACTGTCTTCTGGACAGTTATCAAGTCAGCAGTCTTCCCTATGATTGTGTAATATGTATTATTACCATTCAGTGCAGGTCTGCCAGCTCATGTAGAATTTGGACAATTGAGGATTATTGATTTATTATAAAGGCAAATTGCAGCTGTTAAATAAAACTTTTGATTTTGTAATTTTGTTTACAAATAGCACAGTGCTCTGGTATTATAACTTTACTAACTTATTTTTTGCAGTTGATACTACTTTATTCACTTTAAAAGAGCATTTGCCTCTATTTGATGATATAATTTGCTTTTTTTTTGGGCCCGCAAAGGCAGCTTAAACTGTGTATGCTAGCTGGACCTGACCTCATGGCCTTTGGTTTGAGCAATACGACTTGAACTCTCTTAGCTGCATCATGACTTATAACTACTTCACGATATCTTTATTTTCTTATGATGCTTTTTTGCCAATTTGCTTCCTTCACTTCATTTTTTGTTACCTTTTTTTATTCAGCCGAATTATTGGTAAAGTTATTCTCATTTTTACAAACCACACAGAGTGAAGTCTTCACTAAAATATAATATAGTTGTTTTTTTATTGCAGCCACTTAGAACACTACAGAGTTGGGATTCTGGTTTAGTGCAATCTAGATTAAAGGAAAAGTCCAGTCAGCAAGGAATAACCAATTGGTCATTATTTATACCTAAAACTAATACGTTTGCGGTGATTCAATGATTTTAGCATTAATCAGTCAAAAAATTAAAATAATAATTTTTTGTCACGATCACTGAGACCAGGACCATCCATTTTTGCCCAAATATAGTAACCCCTCGGCAGTGACGTCACGGCGCGGTAAGCCTAGCGCCATTCACCCCTGCAATCAACAACAATTATTTAAGATTTCGAGGGGACTTCACTACTGAAATTTGCAAGACCTATAGTTAAACTGACAATGCCCACGTGCATGGCAGTTGGATGTTGATCAACAGCTGATACATCACAGTGACGTCACAGACCGGTAGGAGGCAGTAGTGTTCTTTGATTCACAGGGATGTCTCCAGTAAAGCACATTCAAGTGAAATTACTCTTAATTAAAGCTTTTCAGTTATTCAACAGTATGTAATAATTTCATATTTAAAGTACTTTCAGAAGTTTGAATTTTGAATATGACCGGACTTTTCGTTTAAAAGAGGTTAAGCTATACGTGCTTGCAGACTGTTGAAGAGAAATGTTTGTATAATGCTTTAAGCTGCAGGTTCATTTCTCATCTTCTCCTATTACCTGCAAATCCACAGTTTGACTAACTCCCCGTCTCTGCAGCAGCTTCCCATGCAGTCGCAACTTTAATGGCAGGGCTGAGAGTTCTAGAACTGTATACTGTATGGAAAATGTCTCTGTATGTGATAATGTAGAGTCTTTAATGTAAATTAATGTAAATAATTTTTCTACCATAGATTAATGTTATTTATCTGTTTCTTGCCCTTTGATTAATGCATCATAAAATGCTTTGGAAGATAAAAATCGTGAAGTCCAAAGCCAGGTTGTTTTAGAGCTCAAACATCAGATGTTGACCTGAGACTTTATTTTCAATAGAACTTTGTTCTTGATATGGAAATATTAAATATCTTTCTTTTGGTTTTTTTTTGTTTTTTTTTTAAGTAGCTGGATATCTACTCATTATCTCTGTTTTAAATGAAATGATTCAAACAGGAATTATATACAGGGAGAGTTGTTTATCTTTGTTTCTCTTTTTGACTGTCTGCAGTGGAGGAATGACTTTGTGAATGGAGTGGTGAAGATTTCCAACTCCCATGAGTCACAGGAAGAGTGCCTTGGTATGGCGGTGCTGGACATGACGAGAATAGCTAAGGAAAGGCAGATGTCCCCTTTGGACATCTATCACAATACAAGGTACTTTAAAAACATTAGACGATGTTGATTTCTCCCCATCCTGGAAACATTTTATTGACTAACTGTGCGGAAGGAACACAGTGTTTACATTTCAAACTAATGTTGATTTAATTCTGTTGAATCCCTTCTAGCTACAAGTCCTTCTTACCAAAGGGTATGAGAAATCAGATCCAAGATTGTAGTTTTTTAACTCGTAAGAGGATCCGTTTCCGCTTCAAGCGCTTCATCCAGCAATTCAGTCATTGTCGCACCACGGTCCGCGATCTGAAGCTCAAGTACCTCATCAGCATCGAGTCACTAGAAAAGGCCTTCTACACAGAGACCTTTCAGGTCAAAGATCCAGCTAGCGGACCGCTCATCATTCTGGTTGCTGCCGACACTGGAATCCAGTGGTGTCGAGAGAAAGTAAACGATTCTGACGAGGTTTGTAGCCAACATTAGGTTTCTTTGTCTAATCCTCTTGGCAGCATAGACTGCAACACAAAGAGCCTCATGTAATAAATATACAAACAAAATACTTTGAGAATTCATAGCCTTTTAAAAAGTCATTGCATTATTTCTCAGTGTATCTTCATGTCATTCATCACATATGTTTTCAGTCTTTAGATGTGAAAGGCTGATAGAACTGAAAAAACGCTTTGATTGTCATAGAAGGTGGATTTAAGATTATTTTTCAGTGCCATTGACCACTTTTTCCAAATTTTCTTACTTTTATTTCTGCAAAATCCTTTTCCCCCTCAGTTCACAACTAGGTTGCAAAAAAGTGCTTTGAAGATATGTGACAAGACATGTAAAACCTCAATGGGGAGTGGATTCTTGCAACACGCTACTGTTAAACAAGAAATGTGATAAAGACTATATCGCCCTTTAAAGGAATAGTACACCCAAAACATGATTAGCCTTCATTTTCTACTCACCCCCATGCTGAACAACACTCTGGAGTACTTTTTTGATATCTCAAATGCATCTGGAGATCTGGGAGGCTTCTTGCTGTCTGCTGACATTCAAATAATGGAGGTCCATGGCGCCCGAGACAGAAAGGTCCATAAAAGTCCACAAAAACGTGTCAATATTCCTCCATACTGCTCGTCCAATGTAATCCAAGTGTCCTGAGTGGGTAGCATCCAGAATTTACTCGAAACGAAGTCATTTAGAATGTTTTTAGAGCATAAACAGTAGTGTATAGGATTTCCTAATAGCGCCCCCATGCGCGCTCACGATTCTACGGAAGCCGGCAGACCAAACCGGAAGAAAGTGCGCATTCAGCGTCTGGTCTGCCGATAATGCAAGCGTAGAAGAAGAAATGTGCTGTTTACCTGTGCAAAGAAAGAAACAACGAAAGAAAAATGTCTGAGGACTTCAGTGTTGAGGAAGAGCATGAGTTCTTTGCCGAGCTGAATGCGCTGGTTTGGTCTGCCGGCTTCCGTAGAATCGTGAGCGCGCATGGGGGCGCTATTAGGAAATCCTATACACTACTGTTTATGCTCTAAAAACATTCTAAATGACTTCGTTTCGAGTAAATTCTGGATGCTACCCACTCAGGACACTTGGATTACATTGGACGAGCAGTATGGAGGAATATTGACACGTTTTTGTGGACTTTTATGGACCTTTCTGTCTCGGGCGCCATGGACCTCCATTATTTGAATGTCAGCAGACAGCAAGAAGCCTCCCAGATCTCCAGATGCATTTGAGATATCAAAAAAGTACTCCAGAGTGTTGTTCAGCATGGAGGTGAGTAGAAAATGAAGGCTAATCATGTTTTGGGTGTACTATTCCTTTAAGTGGTTTTTGATGTCAGTTTTCTATATCAGAGTAAATTTCTGCTGTTGGTTCAGGAGCTGCAGACATTGTGTGACTTCCCTGACGTCACCGACATCAGCATCAAGCAGGCAAGCAAAGATGGCGCCACAGAAAGCCGGTTGGTCACAATCAATAAACAAGATGGGAAAAATCTGGTAATTTCTTGATTTAAACCTGTTTCTGTCTTTAAAGTAAAACATGATTTAACTTTATTATATCTGACATTATCCAGTGGGAGTCGATTGTCCTGTTTGGATTGTACTTTTCGATAAGGCTGGTAGCGGATGGGAAGAAACTGTTCTCACACCACAAGAACAGTTTCTTCCCATCCGAGTCCCCAGTGACAATGACACTGCCTCATTCTCTCCCCTGTTCAGGACCTAGAGCTACACCAGCGTAGCATCTCCAGCATCTCTACTGTGTATATAGGATATATATATATATATATATTCTGATTCTGTTTTACTTTTACAGGAGCTGGAGTTTCATAATCTGTTTGAGGCTCTCTCCTTCACCTCCCTCATCGATGGCTACTATCGTCTAACCACAGATGCGCATCACTACCTTTGTAAAGAGGTTGCACCTCCCAGGCTTGTTGAGGCCATATCTTGTCATTGCCATGGCCCCATTTCGTAAGTGATATGATTCAGGGATTTACATAATGTAGATCCAAATAGTGTTTTTGTTAAGCAAATATTTAGTAGTTTTATGTAACATATATCAAAAGGCATGAATGCCTGAAACAAAAGTTGGTAGAAATATGCATTGTCAGAGCAAATATTCTCACTCACTACATGATTTCAAATTATTTAAGATGTAAACTAAGAAAAAAAGTTGGTTTCTTGTGTGTTTGTTGGTAAAACTCAGTGATTTTTGTGTGTGTTTTTTTTCCACTTCTTTTTCATAAGGATGGAGTTTGCCGTCAGTCGATTTCAGAAGTGTGGAAACAAGCGGGGTTTGTACATCTTGAGATGTAGCCCCAAAGACTTTAATAAGTATTTCATAACTTTCCCAGTGGAGGTGAGTTTTTCCACTTTCAGCAGTTTGACCAAAATTAAGAGACAGATACAAACCTTCAAAAATATATATTTTTTAAATATATATTTTTGAAATATTTGAATGCAATCTTTTAGCATCTACACTCTACAAGTGAGGCTTGCAAGCAGAAATGCAAGACTAGTAAAGACAAAAATTGGACTGATCCATGCAAAGAAAAAAATATTGCAAAGCAGAAAGGCTAAAATCACAGAAAATAGAGAACAAGCGAAATGTAAACAATAATTACTATGAATGAATGTGTTTCAGTCGAATCTTTTTCAAACACTGAATCCTTCTGATCGTCCTGTTTATGTTAGACATAAACAGCACTAATGAGTTCATAATCATCTCCTCCTAATGGTCTGTAGCACTTTGTTGTGCAATGCCGTTTTGCAGCTTCTCTGAACTTGCAGGTGTTTTTGCGACTGGTATGTTTGCATCATTTATGGTGTTTGCAGCAGGATTCGTGTTAAGTGTAATTTTCTGTGGTTGCAGCATATCTATTTCGTTGGGGTTTTTCTTTGCGTGTGATTTCATTTTTTGATAAAGCTTAATTTTGTGTTTGCGGGTCTCATTTTTGCATTTTTGAACTGGATGCGCTTTAAAATATTTGTTGATGTTTTTCTTTGTTTTTTTTTTGTACTACTGTGACACTGTGGAAAATATAAGAAATGCATATTTTGGTTGCAGTTTTATTTTTCTTTGCTGAACTAAATGATTCTAATTGTGTTTAACCTTAAGAGGTTGTGTTCCTGAATACTCCTTGTCTGGATCACTTACTGTATACTGTTTGGGCTCTGCTTTGTGTCTGCCAGGTGTTGGATTCGGTGAATTACAAGCACTGCCAGATCACCAGGTCTGCCTCTGGTGATTATAACCTCAGTGGAACAAAAAGAAACTTCAGTACCTTGCAGGAGTTGCTCAGCTGCTACCAAAAAGAAACGGTTCGCTCGGACAATATCGTTTTCCAGTTCAGCAAGTGCTGTCCTCCTCAGTACAAAGGTAAACCCGGTATTTTGTTTTAATGCAATCTTTGGAAATGTAGATCTTAATAAAAAAGAGCTTGCAGCAAAGTATATTTTAGCAAAATAAATAGGGCTAATGCCAGAGCTGTGATACCAGAGCTCTGTTTGCTTTAGAATATTTTGGTCATTATTTTTGAATAAACCTCTCGCTACAGGCAATTATATGTACAAATGTATGCATGTTTATCTCAAATGGCAACCTGAGATAAGTATTAGGTCAAGAAAACAAAGAAAGGAGGGAAAAAAAAGGTAATTCCTAATTGACGTGTTTAAGTCCAGTACAGTTTCCCATAAACGATAAACTTCTCTGCTAAGATTTTTATCTTAATTTCATTTTAATAGCTTCTTATTTAACTTCTTTAATTTCTAAGTATTTTTTATGTTTGCATCTAAATATAGCCATTTAAAATATGGGTTAGAGAACAATATGTTTGATTTATAAAACATATTGTTTAGTAAATCTACGCCTCCAAATAAAAGACAGAGGGCTGCAATGTGTGATCAGCAAAAATTCAAGGCCTTCAAATAGTAAAAAAGTACAGTAAATAATGAGTAATCCCTCTATCTTTCACTTTATCTGATGAAGATTTACCTTGTTTTGAAATGCCTCCAAAATTGGTTTCCTGCCGGCTGCTGCTTTTGTCTTTGTGTCCCCTGGCTAAAAAAAAAAAAATCCCTTTGCTCTTAAATGCTGTATTTTTTTTCAGATGTTTAAGTTTGTTGGATCATAAGCCACAAGGAGATTCTACCTCTCTGTGAAACTTCTTTGTAAGCGTTGCCCTTTGTAGTCTTTATTTGCTGTGTTTCTAGTGTGAAATGTTTTCAAACCGTAGACATGAGGTGACTAGAAGTTGGTTACAGTGCTGGCCTTAATACTAGCAGGCTGATAATTGTGGAATAGACTTCCTGAGCAGAGCCTACTGCCCGCCTCAAGAGACCCGCTTCCATTTACAGAGCAGGAAAGGATGACGTCATACACTTTGTTTAAAAAAAATAAATAAATATAAAAAATATAACCGCGGATGTCTGGGGGACAGTGATTCGCCTACATGTTATGAATGCTGGCGTACCATAAAGAATACATTATGAACAGTTTAGTATGTGCTTTCAACTCGTTGCCCATGGGAACAATAGGAAGACGTTAATTGGATATTACAAAACCGAATATCTTCGGAACAGCTCCAAATGACACAAAACTAATATGGGTGAGAAGAACATGATGTAATAACGTAAAATCAAGGGGCCAATATAAAAAAAACGGTGTTCCCCTTTAAGTTGGAAGTCACAATATGTATTGTAAATCCCTTCATTGTCCCACAACGGGGAAATTCACTCTCTGCATTCAACCCAGAATGGAGGCTTTGGGGATCAAACCTGGTACTTGTAACTTTCTCAACACAAGCGGCGCACTGTTCTAACCACTAGACAAACACTCCCCCTTATATTCGGGGGGAAATTAGCTACTTGGAGGTCTCTGAGTATTTTTCTTGTTCAGTCAAAAACTAGCCTTCTTAGTTTTTTCCTCCCTTTATTTATATATATATATATATATATATATATATATATATATATATATATATATATATATATATATATATATATATATATATATATATATATATTCTACTTTATGGTCAAACGCCTTCTTAATACTTACATTTCAGCTCACCAGTCAGCACTAAAACCAATGTTAACTGATCAACAGCAAGATAATAATAATAATCATTTATCATTCTAATGAAACTGTTTTCAGCATTTTCCACACCTCTGAGGGAGCAGTGGGTTTCTTCTACTCAGCACTCAGCATTGTGGGAACCTAGAATGGCATTGATAAATATGATCCAGTTTAAAAAACTGTTTTATGATTTAAAGGGTATTTTTTTATTGAGCTGAGCTAACTAGTGAACAAGGCACTGTGGTGCCTGGAATTTTCAAATCAGCTGTAATATGTAAAAAAAAAGCAAAGGTGAAGAAGAAATTTACTTGCTGACCATTTTGATGCACTTTGTTGTCAGATACCATGTTAATGTGAGCCACAGAGAAAAGCCGTTCTTGGAAGAAAGAAAATCACAATAACCATGAACCTTTGAAAATGCCTTCATCCCAGTTTTCTTTCACAAGTTTTACCAGAAGTGGTTTCACTGAAAGGGATGAAGAAATAGTGTTCACTGTTTCTCCTGGAGGGCTGACTCATAACACCAGCTCTAAATCCAAGACTAGAACCTTTTCTTTTTGTTTTAGCAACCAAAAGTTTCAAAAATCTTTTTAAATCTGATCTTTTCTCCTTTCTGTTTCCATTCTTTTCTCCGAACAGAAAAATCCTGCCTCCTCATCTGCAGGAGCAACAAGGGTTCTGAAGTGTCTCTCTCTCCCTCACTGCAAAGACACAACATTAGTCAGATGGTGTTTCACAAGATCAGGAAGGAAGACTTGGACTATGTAAGCTTTCTGTGCAGGCAACGAGCTGTGATGTCAATACTTCCCTGTTTGTCTATTAATTGCATAAGCTCTCATTAAACTTGGAATTTGTCCCTCATTTCAAGTATGTCGCCTCCCTAACATGTTTAGAAAGTCACTTTAATCTTTGTGCAATCATGTTTTTTTGTTTTGTTTTTTTTTTGTCAGGTGGAAAGCCTTGGACAAGGGACATTTACAAAGATCTTCAAAGGGGTCCGAAAGGAGCTGGGAGACTACGGACAGATGCACGAAACGGACGTTGTAATGAAAGTTCTGGACGTGGCCCACAGAAATTATGCCGAGGTCTGTGGTTTCAAAGCTGTCCGCTGTGCATTTATGCAACCAATATAAAAGAAATGCCCTTTTTTCCCAAGCATTCTTATTCCAATTTGCACCTGCTTACTTTTAATTGTATTCGAGTCAGAGCCTTGTAAAAAAGGGTGTGACCATGCATTTATATGCAGCCTTTGTTGAGCCTAAACCGGGTTCCTTTACAGTCTTAAAAACTCGTAAATTTAATTTAATTTTTATTCTTTTGCTTAATGTGAGGTTGGTATGTTTAACAGGAAGCAATATTATCCAGAAGTCACGGCTATTTTAAAGATCAGTGCTTCTGATTATGTTAGAAGTACAGTAGAAAACAAGATGCTCAAGCAGATGTGGAAAAACATCTGCAGTTCTTTCTACTACAGTGATATCAGACACATGTATGCATTTATATTAAACATTTAAAGAATTCAAGTAGTTACCTGTAAAGTCATTTTTAAAGTATCAAATAGAGTCCTATTGTTACAACACACTGCAAAAACGACCTAGAAATAAGAAAATATTTCTAAAATTAAGAGTATTTACCCTTAATTTGAATAGGTAAATAATATGATTTCACAATGGAACGAGTATTTTCTTAAACTTAAAATAAGATATTTAGATAATATGCACTTGAAATAAGATAATGCAATTTATTCTCCCAACTTACATGAAAATGTTCTTGTTTCATTGACAAGGTGTCTCACTGGCTTTCTCAATTCAAGACAAAATGACCTATTTAGATTTAAATATTTTGCAGTGCAGAACTGACTTAACTATCTGACGGACGTTTTTTGTCTCCATCTGGTTTTCCAGTCTTTCTATGAAGCAGCCAGCATGATGAGCCAGTTGTCCCATAAACACCTGATTCTGAACTATGGTGTGTGCGTCTGTGGAGAAGAGAGTAAGTCTTGGGTTGTTCAAGAAAGCATTTTTAATGAATCTGTTTTTATGCTCATTTTAAATTACGCTAAAAGAAATGGTCAAGAAATAATAAAAAAAACTTGGTGTTCAAAGTTTTGAAAATTACTACGAATAGCTAAACTTCTCTTGTTTAAAGAAATTGCCCCTTTTACATACGGTTGTAATGTGCAATTTTAACCTGAACATTAGTGTCTTTATTCATGTCACAACAAATAAATTGCATTTATTAATGCAATATATATCTTACCCATTTTATAGAATAGGTAAGAAAGAATGATGGAAAACTGGTGTTCATTTTTAGAAAGATACGGTGGCATCAAAAGGATTCTCAAAGATGGTTTTAAAACACAACAGTCTAGTGTGGAAAAAATCCTCTATCGGCTGCTTAAATCTAGAGCCCTGAGGAAGCAGAATTTACTCTAGATGTAGTTACAATGCCCTCCGCATTTAATGGCACCCCTGTTTAAGATGTGGTCGAGGACTTAAAAAAATTCTCCTTTTCTTTTAAACAAAAAAGAACCCAAATACAAAAAAGAGGGGAAAAAACAACCTTTGATCTAAGTACATTACTTTGGTGGTAAAAATAAAATTACACGTTTAGAAAATAAAAAACATGAAATCATGTGTCCCACAATTATTGGCACCCCCAACAATTCTGCTAAAAATAATTGATTTCCTTTAAATGTATTTTTCTGCAGTTGCTATAATTGGTCAGGGTATCTAGGAACTTTTAATTAGTAATTCATGACTTCCTGTTTTCCTGGGGTATAAATATGACGTGACGCAGAGGCCTAAATCTCTTCTCAATCAGTCAGCATGGCAAAGACAAGAGAACACACAATTCAAGTAGGGCAGATGTGCGTCAAACTTCATAAGTCAGGCAATGGTTACAAGAAAATAGCCACTCGCCTTAACTTGCCTGTATCTACAGTCAGAGGAATCATTAAGAAGTTTAAAACAACTGGAACAGGGACAAACAAGGCTGGAAGAGGTCCCAAGTTTATCTTGCCACAACGCACATTGAGGAGGATGGTAAGAGAAGTAAAAAAAAAAAGTCCTACACTTACTGTCACAGAATTGGAACAAAGAGTGGAATCCTGGGGTCACAAAGTTTCCCAAAGAACCATCAGACACTCTCTACATGCCATCGAGCTGTTTGGAAGGCATGCAAGGAAAAGCCTTTTCTCACCAACACTCACAAACGTAAACGTCTGGAGTTTGCTAAGTGGCACTGGGACTTCAACTGGGATTGTGTGCTTTGGTCAGATGAGACCAAGATTGAGCTTTTTGGCAACAAACACTCTTAAGTGGGTCTGGCGTAAAACAAAAGATGAGTATGCCGAAAAGCACCTCATGCCCACGGGGAATGGTGGAGGATCTGTAATGCTGTGGGCCTGTTTCTCTTCCAAAGGCCCTGGGAACCTTATTAGGGTGCATGGCATCATGAACACTTTGAAATACCAGGACATTTTCAATGAAAACCTGATGGCCTCTGCCAAAAAGCTGAAGATGGGTCGTCATTGGGCCTTTCAGCAGAATAATGACCCGAAACATGTGGCAAAATCTACACAAAAATGGTTCAGCAGTCACAAAATCAAGGCCCTCCCATGGCCATCTCAGTCCCCAGAACTCAACCCAATCGAAAACCTGTGGGGCGAGCTAAAGAGGAGAGTGCACAAGAGAGGACCCAGGACACTGGATGATCCAGAAAGATTGTGCAAAGAAGAATAGTCAAAGATCCCTCTCTCTGTGTTCTCCAATCTTGTGAAATGTTGTAGGAGAAGATTAAGTGCTGTCTTGTTGGCAAAATGGGGCTGTACAAAGTATTAACATCAAGGGTGCCAGTAATTGTGGAACACATTATTTAATGTTTTTTATTTTCTAAATGTGTGATTTTATTTCTTCCACCTAAGTAATGTACTTAAAGGAATAGTACACCCAAAACATGATTAGCCTTCATTTTCTACTCACCCCCATGCTGAACAACACTCTGGAGTACTTTTTTGATATCTCAAATGCATCTGGAGATCTGGGAGGCTTCTTGCTGTCTGCTGACATTCAAATAATGGAGGTCTATGGTGCCCGAGACAGAAAGGTCCATAAAAGTCCACAAAAAAACGTGTCAATATTCCTCCATACTGCTCGTCCAATGTATTCCAAGTGTCCTGAGTGGGTAGCATCCAGAATTTACTCGAAACGAAGTCATTTAGAATGTTTTAGAGCATAAACAGTAGTGTATAGGATTTCCTGAAAGTGCGCACATGCGCGATCACGACGCTACGGAAGCCGGCAGACCAAACCAGATGAAAGTGCGCATTCAGCGTCTGCTCTGCCAATAATGCAAGCGTAGAAGAAGAAATGTGCTGTTTATTATTATTCTGAAGTATTTTTGTGAATGACAATGTCTACTCATACCTGAGTAAAACTTTAAGTAGAGAGACTTGCGTAGAATGTTCACAAAGTCATTCACCCTTCCTACATAAAACATCTGTTACATTTTATTAGATCCATTTCTGACATATCTTCTCACGTCTTCTCTATTATGCCAGAAATTAATCCATTCCCCTTATCAATGCTGCTCTTACGGTGAAAGTATCCCTAACAGACAAAAACAATTGTATTTCTGAATTAATTCTGCAAATTCTAACATCTTCAGTTTATTCATACCAGTCTGTTAGTAATTACGCAGACATCCTCTCTATCTGCCTCAGCTGCTGTTTATCAACTCACAGCCTGTAATCACATCTCAGCTTTTGATGCTAACGGTTTTGCTGCACTTCTTGCTCTGAACATGCCTGTGGTTTATTTCTGACATTTTGCTGCATCTGCTTAGAGACGCTCAGCATCTCTTCCTCCACAGGGATTTTTTTTCTATAGCGGCCATGTTGTGACTGGGACTTCGGTCGGCTTGAAACTTTGCAAAAGAGTGAGGAGAAGGGTAGAGACTTAAGGGCTGAGCTGAGGAGGACAGCTGAGAGAGATTTAATAAATGCTTTAAAATGTTTCTAATCATCCATCCATTTTCTGTCACGCTTATCCCAAACGGGGTGGCGAGGGGTGCTGGTCCCTATCTCCAGTTGATGTTTCTCATTATTTAATTGAAATTAACGCGTTAAAGTAGTGGCGCTAACTTTGACTTGTAGCCAAAATAAGGTGCAATAAAGAGCTGGAAAATTATATAGTTATAATTGATCTAGCAGAAAATGTGTTTCTGCAGAGGTCACTAAGAGTGAAAAGTTTAGCTTTACAATTACAGCTTTCAGGTTCTTCTTCATTAAAGGTTAAGTTGTTAAGTTTGGAAGTTATATTTCAAGGCAAGAAATGTTGTAGCTCTTTTACAGTAGTAGCGATTCAAAATTTACCCACTTTCCTTGATGGTCCCTTAGCTGGTCCCGTAAGATTCATTTTTAAACATCAATCTTTTTACTAAAATTCTGTCTGTCAAGATTTTTGTACATTAAGACCTAAAGAGAAGCGTCATCTCCTGGTCAGACCCAGTAATTAAGTGAAAGGGTGGAATAAGTGTAAAAAATATGCACGCCCAGGAGAAGGAGGAGGGTCACTGCAGTGGCTGGAAGTGGGCTGCCATTCGGCTGGAATTTGACTGGGAAGGGCCATTTTGAATGGCTGCTACTGTACTTTACCTTATAGACTATAGGCTTGCTGATTATTATGTTGAGATGAAAAATCATCCCATTAACAGTGTGTGTGTGTGTGTGTGTGTGTATGTGGCCATGTCTTTAATACCTGGTGGGGACAATTTCCTAGTAATATGCTACATTTTGGGGACTCATAGGTACTTGTGGGGACCAACAACTGGTCCCCACAAGGAAAGTTTCTCTTCTTGGGGTGGGGGTTAGGTTTAGGACTAAGGTGTGAATTGAGTTTAGGTTAGAATTAGGGATAGGTATGTGTCGGTAATGGTTAGGGTTAGGGCAAGGGTCATGGTTAGGCCATATAAATTAGTGGGAAATGAATGGAAGTCAATGGAAGGTCCCCACAAGGATATTGTGACACAACGTGTGTGTGTGTGTGTGTGTGTGTGTGTGTGTGTGTGTGTGTGTGTGTGTGTGTGTGTGTGTGTGTGTGTGTGTGTGTGTGTGTGTGTGTGTGTGTGTGTGTGTGTGTGTGTGTGTGTGTGTGTGTGTGTGTGTGTGTGTGTAGTTTTGCTGTCTTAGTGCACAATGTTGACTTATAGAAATAGACCAATTAGGGCTGAATAAGTTTGGAAAATAATCTAATTGCGATTTTTTTTTTTAAGCTTAATATTGCGATTACATGCAATTATATTTTCCAGTTAAATTTCTCATGTGTTTTTAAACTTATACAATGTTTCGTAATCAGATTTGTGTAAAGCACAATAATATTACAACAATAATGGAAACAAATCTGTGGCTTTACCTTATTACCATATTTTTTATGTTTAATGAAACATAAACCTAAACGTATGGACTCCACTCTTTAAACACTGCCAGATTTTAACAGGACAGTCGATAAATAAGTAAATAATATAAGATGGACGAAAATAATATTTAACTGATCTGCAATCAGTTGCATCACACACACTAAAGCGTAGGAAATAATTAGCGAAGAAGTGTCTTCTTTCAACCAGTTGAAATGTTTATAGGTAATTTAAACTCTCAAATGAAGTGTTGATAAAGGTTTGTCCTGTTACCCCGTGAGGTAGCAACAATAGCAAGGCATGTCCTGCACAACACCTGATGTTGTGCAGCGTCTTCTTTTTTAAAACCAAAGTAATTCCATACAAGTGACGTACTGCTCCTCTTTAGGACCAGACCGTCAGTTGTGTCGGTTTTTTGTAGAGTCTGAGGCCATGGTTCAGCAGGTTGCTTGCATGCGAGTATCGACTTTACCTCCATACTACTTTGCTAGCAGGTCACCCCCGATCACATGTTCCGTCAAATTGCGGCCTCTGCGGTTAGAAAATCTTGTTTTACCATATTGCGATATTATTGCAAATGCAATTAATCATTCAGCCCTGGGACCAATCAAATATCGGAAATCTGTCCCAATATCAGCCAAAAAAAGAAAAAAAAAAACAGCATACACTCAGTTATTGTGTACTCGAATTAACAATTATTAAATGACTTAATTAGTGAAAAATAGTTTGAATAATCCTTTAATCATGAATAACTGCAGCATTGAATTTTATACTTATACCGTGTGAGATACCCTCTACTGCTTTTCTAAACAATTGCAGTTTTATTTTAATTTTTTTAATATATGCAGTTTTTTAAAGCTATATAACAAAACAAAGCAAAAACCTTGTTTGTTCCCTTCCAGATATCATGGTGCAGGAGTATGTAAGGTTTGGCTCGCTGGACACCTACCTCAAGAAGAACAAGAACTCTATAAACATTCAGTGGAAGCTGGAAGTGTCAAAACAGCTGGCCTGGGCCATGAACTTCCTGGTACAAATCTGTATTTTATATCAGCTTCCATGCTTATTTTGCAGGCTTTGTGTTATTTTTGTATGTTAAAAATGAATTTGTAAAATATTAAATGTGTAAAAGATATGTGTAATTTACATATTTTTTTACAAGTCTCTCTTTGTACTGGTAGGAAGAGAAGAATCTTGTCCATGGGAATGTTTGTGCCAAAAATGTTCTGCTGATCAGGGAGGAGGATCGGAAAGCTGGGAACCCTCCTTTCATCAAGCTCAGTGACCCTGGAATCAGCATCAGCATCCTGCCTAAAGAGAGTGAGTTTGGCTGGGCTGTCGTTACCCATGTTTAACAGCAGGGGGAGCGGGCATGTCCAAACCTCACTTGAACATTTAAGTGTGTGGTAGTGCTGATGAATTGTCAAAAGTAAATAGAAGTTAATAAACAGAGAAACTGATGAAAACAAGACTTAAATCTGTTTTCATAGACAATATTTTTTTCTTTTTTAAATTCATGTAGTGTCTTATTAGCACTTTCTTCTCTCCAAAACAATCTTTTTGAATTGTTTAAATTGTTACAGCTCTGAGATTTCTAATCTTAATGTTTTCAAATCGCACATTAAATCAAATGAGATAAAACTGCTTTTTTTTACCTGAAAATACATCCTGAGCTGTTTTTGTTTGTAATCAGTCCTGATTGAAAGGATCCCCTGGGTGCCACCTGAATACATACAGGAGTCTACCAAGCTGAGCCTAGCAGCAGACAAGTGGAGCTTTGGCACCACTTTGTGGGAAATATGCAGCGGTGGAGAGAAACCCCTCGCAGGGCTGGACAACTCTAAGGTGGGACTGAGTTTATGGCCAAGAACATATCAAGTTCTAAAGAAAAAGAGCCATTGGCAAGACTGACAAAGAATTATATTGGATGGTAATGAGATCTTGATGCTGAATCGGTTTTTGTTAGCGACCGTAAAACATTATTTTGTCTACAACCACTGTTGTAGACAAAATTAATTTTACAAAACATTATTTTACATGCAGTTATTTACTACTGAACAAACAAAGCAATTCTTTAAATCAGCAAAATTAAGTTTTACAGTTTATATGGACACTGCAATGTAAGTAGAGCAGAAGAACAGAAGAAGAAAAAGAAAAAGAAAAAAAAGGACAAAAGATGAAAGAAAGAGGAGATAGGAAGGAGACAATGACAAAACATTTTCAGTCTGCTTCATCACCTGTAACGAGATGAAAAAAAGAACAGCACAACCAAAAGACACGGTACAAGATATACAATAAAGCAACACCTTGAAACTATCGCTAAAGTAATATTATTAAGTCTGACATGTACTCTGTGTTACCTGAAGATATGAATGTGGGGTTTCTGTTTGGAAGTGAATCTCGAAGTACCTGAAGCCTAGCACCTGTAGTTGTTTGTGAGGGTGAACTTGTGCATGTAAAGTTTTAACCATAGAGAAAATGCTCAATAGTGGTTGTGGAGAGCCGGAGAGGCACACCCCCCAGAGCACTGAGTCCAGCGCCGGGAGACCCAAAGCCCCAGGCGCCCAAAGGGACCCCAGAAGCGAAGGCACCAAGGAGGGGCCAGCCCCGGAAATCAGACCCCCACCAAGGGAGGAGGAGAGACAGCCACGAAGAAGCCCCCCAGCCACCACCATGCCGGCGCCCCGGGGAGCCGCGGGGACGAGTCCGCGGGCCCCGCCGGCAGCCGGCCACCCTGAAGTAGGGCCGGGCACCGAACACCGGCCCCCCCACGGCACCGACCGAGACGCCCCAGCCCCACAGAGCACCGAAACACGCCCCGCCCCCCGGCACCAAGCCCCGGTGACCGGCCGCAACACCCACCGCGACCGCACCACCCAGGAAAAACACACAGGCGGCCCCGCCTGCGGCCGGGGCCCATGCGCATCCTCTGCGAACCGGCCGCGAGCGCCGTGGGACCCCTCCAAAAATTTATTTTAAAAAAACGGAAACTGATAAATGCATAAGAAACAAGCATGAGAAATGGCCCAATGTTCATCCGATTGCATTCATAATAAGTTTAAATAAATTACTCTCAACAGCAATGTTAAAATATCATCATTAAAATTACTTTGTAAGCTGGAAAATCTCTGAGGAGGTTTGATTTAAACCCTTTAGGGTAAATTTTCCTCACAGCAACCAGAATTTTTTTACAACCATATGGATCATTTGCCTTTGTTAAGTCAGATGTTTTACAGGATTTTATTGCTTTGCATCAAACTAATAGTACCCAAAAAAATTAGCCTTTTATTAGGATTATTCCTTGTTCTGTGTTACATTCTTCATTGTTGCATTTCCTTCATTGTACTTTATTTGGTTCCTTATTTCAATCGTTCTTAAAATGTGTTGTCCTGGTTCATTTTTTCACCTTTAAAGGTACACTATGCAACCGGTGTTGATTTTCCAGCGAGGCTCCCCCCAGAGGGCGAAAGTAAAAGTGCACTGTCGTAAATATGCACAGCTGTTCTCCTGGTTTCTCCGTCAAGCCAGGTGCGGTTGTTTTGAGCTTAGCAGACAGGCGAACGCAACGAATGACTAAGCATCTGACGCGCCGCAAACGAGATGGAAAAATGTAATTTTTGCTGCTCGACGCACCGCGTCAACCAATCAGAGAAGCTGATCTGGGAGCTGGCAGGGAGAGAGACACAGCGCTGATGATCACTCCTCTTAAACAGTTTATTGACGCCTAAATTAACTTAAAATGCAGAAATCTGCCGGCAGAATATGTTGGCTTTTATTATCCTGCTGCCTGCAGTTTGGATTATTTAGATGAAAAACACCTACCAGCTGCCGCGGTGAACCGCGAGGAGGCGACCCGGCCAGAGGCTGCTGATGAAGGGATTCCTACTGTCGGTGCACTGCTGGTATGTCGGGGGTCTGAGCGGCTCCGACAGAAAAAATATTGTAAGGGAGGATGATAATCTGAATGAACTGACTGCACTGATTACGTTTTCAGGTGTATTTTCTCACTTAAACACATATTAAAACTACTTTATTCCCACTGATCACAGCAAATATAGCTGCAAGGCAGAGAAAGGATAGTGAAGCTCCGCCCAACGCGCGTCAGACACACTTTTGCACCGCGCAGCCAGAGCAGCAAAGTTGCTTCAGCCGTGCGTCAGAACTAACTGGTACAAGCAGCAAAAATGAAGCAGCAGACGCGATTTTGCTGCGTCCGGTGTGAAAGCAGCACTGCACAAAGATCGCCACTGTCTTCTTCTTTTTCTTCTTGTTTTACTGGCGACTTGCAACCAAATGGAGCATTATCGCCACCTACTTGATCTTATTTATGTTTCCTTAAATCCTTAGGTTTAGTCCAGTTTGTTGAAGATAAGATGACATGATTTTAAGTACTGTCTTTCTGGATTTATTGATCGCCACTGTGCTAGCAACGAGCATGCTTTTAACTTGGGGGTGTAGCAGTTCTCACCGTAAAGCAAGACCAACTCTCGTGAGACTTCTGAGCCTGTGGGTGCGGGTCGGTGCTCCTGCAATTGCAAGTGCGGTATTTCCCCCACAGACCACCAGGGCGGCCGAGAATACCTTTGTTCAACCTGAAATGACTCATTTAATCATCCAAAACGTTATGGAACACATTAATTAACTGAAAAATTTTGCATAGTGTGCCTTTAAAGCTAAAACATGTCTTTTCCATGGAGGTAGTTTTAAAAACTTTCTGTGGAATATTCTGGATAATTGCCATGTTTGGTATTGCTGCAATCATGATAAATATAGGTTTGCTTGAAGTTATGTTTGTCCATCCAGATTCTCAAACGAATATTTAAAGAATTCTTTCAAACAAAAGCAACAAAGCAATTGCACTCAGGGCTCCCAAATAGCTAGCAACCCCACTGGGCATAAAAAGTTTTTATTTCACATTCCTACTTTGAACCATCATTACTGTTTGTAGAAAAAAGTTTTCTTTTTTTTTCTTTTTTTACACCCTGATCCTGGTTGGTAGTAATTCTAAAGCTTCTTATATCTGGTATCAACTCTCAGATGCAGGGAGTTGATCACTTGCAATCTCTCTATAACAAAGTCTATAATTGACGGTATGACCACTCCTCTCAGAAAATGTGCTGTTTTTCTAACAAGAGAAGGTGTGTTAGGACAAGCAGATCCTCTAGCTTGTTTTGCAGGTAGCTTCTTTTTGTTTACTCCGATGACTATCTGTTCAGCTATGATCGCCCACGTCTTCAGCCTTTCTGCAGTTTGGAGCGGAGCCAGAACGAGAAGTGATGCTGATCTTTAATCCAGAATTTGGCATTTGATTTTAAAAGTGAATCCTTAACGGAATTAAAAAGTCTTGAATTTGCTTTTATCAAATATTAATACTGTTAAAAATATTTACTCTGTATTGAAAAAAATTTTGTGTTTTAGATTTTTTTTCTACCATTATCTAAAAGATTTAATTCTAAAATTCTGCATCTTTTATTTGAATTTCTAAATGAAAATAAGATCAATGTAAAAAAAAAAAAAAAAAAAAAGTTGCCAACATATTTAGGGTCATAGAATTAAAAGCATTATAATGGCTGATGGAGTGGGGTGGGGACAATAATATCACAGTCAGCTGTTTAACAGTTTTAGTTCTACAAGTCGAAGTGTTTTGTACTTTGAATTAAAACTGACAATGAAATGTCAATAAGAAACAGTGTTGTGCCCATTTACCAAACACCAACATCAGAAGTTATATATAGTAACTAGTTACCATATAGTTTTATTGTTTTTGTAATGAGACCCAGCAGCTGTATAATCACTGTAAGTTTAGAGGTTTTGGATTTAAATGTTCACAAAACTATAAGGAGGAAACCCATGAATTTGGGTTCGGATTAGTGAAGTTTGAAATGAAGAGGTGTAGCAGCCCTGCGGGTCGTGCTTTGTAACGTCTGGAATGAAAACACATTTGTTAACGACGACAGGTTGCTTTAAGTAGCTGCAGAAAATTAGTGTTGTTTGTAGAATTGCCTGTTGATGCATGATCAGGTTGTGGTAGTCTGTAGGAGTTTAGCTGCCTGAGGCAAAAACAGCTTTGTTCTCTGACACCACAAAGGCTGTTGATGTTTTTTGCATCCTTACATTGCAGTTTCAATGAAGCCTCATTTATTCTCCACAGAAAGTCCTGTTCTACAACGATCAGCAGCATCTTTCAGCACCAAAGTGGACAGAACTGGCTAACCTGATTACCAGCTGCATGGATTACGAGCCCACATTCAGACCCACATTCCGGGCAGTAATCCGCGACCTTCACAGCCTTTTCACACCAGGTCGGTATATCCCTCCTTCCCCTGCAGACAAAATCCTTTCTTTGAGGTTTCAGATTATCAATTAGATGTTCGTAAGGATTTCTGAAATTTTTTTTCAACACGTCTCTAATGGGTCATCATATGTGAAAAGCTTCCTGGAGAAGCTTACAGAGCCGTTGGCTCAGAATGTGCTGTGGTAATTGACTGACTAGTTTTCTGTAGAAATAAAATTAGGAAGAGACAAAAGGAAGTATGTTTAGGCAATGTTCTGCCTATAGAATCAAAAAAAGTTTTCTTTGTGATTATTCTTGGTGATAGTTACAAAACTCATCAGAAGTCATGATTAGTAGGATCTGGAATCAGAGCCTCAGTGGGCCTAGTTTCATTGAAGGCTTAAAAAAAAGGATCAAACTAAAACTTAAGGCTGTTATCCAAAATGATGAATGAAATCTTTAATGCAAATGCATCTTTCTCCATTCTTAGATTACGAGTTAATCATGGAGGACATACTGCCAAATCGAACCACTGGTGCTAGCTGGACAACCGGGGGTTTGGAAAACCAGGAGCCGGCTCTGTTTGAAGAACGCCACCTCATATTTTTACAGTTGCTCGGCAAGGTAATAACTCTTGATGATGACAAAGTGATGCAAGCATCTCTTAGATTGCACCATAAGATAGTTAGTGTTAAGCTGAACTGTCCTTAAGTTCTGTCCGTTATAATAAACAAACATTTCTCAATCTGTAATATTATACTATAAAAACAAGGTTTTTTCTCACCTAGATTTGTTATGTCTTTAAGGGAAACTTTGGCAGTGTGGAGATGTGTCGCTACGACCCACTTCAGGACAACACAGGAGAGGTTGTGGCTGTGAAGAAACTCCAGCAAAGCACAGCAGAGCACATACGAGACTTTGAGCGGGAGATTGAGATCCTGAAATCTCTCCAGCATGAGAACATTGTCAAGTATAAGGGAGTTTGTTACAGTGCAGGTGCGTTTGTCATTGTAGCCCTCGTTTTACCCCTGAACCGTTCTGATTGAAGGACATCTGCCTCCTACAACATTTTGCCATCTTAAGCTGTAAAGTTGAGATTTTTGTCTGGAAATCTACAACAAAATATAGCAAGAATAACTCCCGTTAAACGGCCTTAAATAGACCCCTGGTATATGTGAAAAGACAACACATAAAACTATTTATTTTTGTTACTTACCCTGCATGGCAGGTTTAAGGCTCCTGCTCTGCACTGAACTAGCTCATCCATATTTTCATAGACCGCACCTTCTCATACACATTTTAGAATCGGAATGGGCAACCCCAAAACATTTCACACAAACTCTGGTGCATGCCACTGCCATCAATGTTTTAATACTACATTGTGTCACTTTACATCTGACATAATGCAGTATATGAATGAGTTTTTCTGGCCTGGACTGTGGTGAGTAACGGTATTGCATCCAGTGCTTGTTGATTTTTGGTTTGGGTGCAGCTCCTCAGCCATGTGAAGCATGTTCCTTGGAACTGATTGCGTACTGTTGGTTAGCTAACATGAAGACTATGGATTTTGGAAGTCTGTTGCTGCTGCAGAGCGTTTGTGACTTCTGTAAGCCGCACCATGTGCTGAGCCTGCTTTGCAACTTTATGGAGGTCATACTATATTTTATACACATGTGTGTTCAACTTCATGACTGAAATTAAATATTACCAAAAGATAACCATGAAATGTTTACTAAGCAATAACTCACAACTGTCATAATGCTTAATATAGAGTTTCTGAGAGCAACCGTTCTCTATGAGTTATTATGGAAGCAGTCCCCCTGCATAAGCTTTTGATTTTTACGCACCTCTGGCCAAGAAACAGATTGTAACACCTAGTCTTGAATTTTTTGTGCCTTTCCCTAGGGAAACTAGGGCTGAGCGATATGGGCTAAAAATAAAATCTCAGATTTTATTTTTAATATTACGATTTTGCTTCTGTTAACAGCTAGCTTGTTGGCTATCTGTATCGGAAACCTTTTCTGACCGTTTTAAAATATGCCTTTCAATACACAACCCCATTTCTTCTAATACAGCCACTTATAAATAAACTCGCCACCTCCCTCCCTCGGTGGGAAACTGTTGCTAAAGTTTATAAGCTGCTCTTCACTGCCATGTCTGATATCTTGGCAGCAGCTGGTTCATGTAACTGAACCCGCTCCCATTCTTCATCCTCCTACTAGACTTGTGTTTGGGCAGTAATGCGTTCTGATAAGTGCCAAAAGACACTTCATCATAGCAGTCAGTTATCGCTGGTGTGGCCATGAAACTTATGTTTTTTTTTTTTTCCCTTCTGAAAACGTATTCCTTTTTTGAAAACAAAACTCACACTCACCCTTTGTCATGATGTTGTTTACCGTTTCGTGGGATGCTGTCGCTTGCCAAACCGCAACCTGAGACCAATAATGCAGCGACAGAAACTTGGGGAGCCAAAAAAGGCGCCATTATAAAAAAATAAATAAAATCGATTACATTTTTTGAAAATTTTAATTAATTCAATTAATAAATTTTTTTCCCCAGACCTACTACAAACTTTTTTAAATGAGCTAACAAGAGTTATTAAAGCTTAAGTTCACTGAGCTTCTCTAAAGTTGTTGGGTTATGTCTACTATTATTTTATGGTTGTTTTTCGTCTTTCATTCTTTCAGGTCGTCGGAATCTTCGCCTCATCATGGAATATCTTCCCTTCGGAAGTCTTCGCGACTACCTCGTTAAAAACATGGAGCGAATTGACCATAAAAAGCTGGTCCATTACGCCTCTCAGATCTGCAAGGTGCTTCAGCCTGACCTTTTTTGTTACACCATACTCTGACCTCTTTGCCGCAGGCTGAACTTTGTCTTTGTTGGTTCCGTCTATTCCAACAGGGAATGGAGTATCTGTCAAGTAAACGATACATCCACAGAGATCTGGCCACCAGGAACATCCTTGTTGAGAGTGAGCTGAGAGTAAAAATTGGAGATTTTGGCCTCACCAAAGTTCTGCCTCAAGACAAAGAGTATTATATGGTCCAAGAACCAGGAGAGAGCCCCATATTCTGGTTAGAACATTACATACAACACGTGTACAACCTGACACACTTAACTTGATGATTAACAGATGCATTATTCTTGTTTCATATTCACATCACAATTTATTTTCTGTTTCTTATTCAGACATTTCTTTGGTTTTATAGCGTTAATACGTAAAGCCTGCTTGTTTTCCAGGTATTCCCCTGAGTCGTTGACCGAGAGCAAGTTCTCTGTTGCCTCAGATGTCTGGAGCTTTGGAGTGGTGCTGTATGAGCTCTTCACCCACAGTTACAAAAACTGCAGTCCTCCTGCAGTAAGTAATTCAAACATGTCTTTTATTGTGGATTATATTAAGCCTCCTAATCCAGTTGATGTTTTTGCTCATAAAGTTTTAAAGTAGAAAGAAAACTAACCTTGAAAGAAAGCAGAGGGGTGAGCCGGTAGCCATATTGGGGCAACATCACTGCTATGGCCTAGGTGTTAGATAGGATGGTCACGGTGATAGGCTGAGGTTGAAGCTCACCCCAGGAGCTTTGCTTACATAGGAATTTAATCTGATCAGCGATGTTGTTTTTGTCCACAATGATTAAATAATTTCTTTGATCCTCCTTTTTTTATTACGATAACGAAAACCGATGAGCTAAACATGGGTCTTTGATGACGAAACATGAGTTTTCGTTGGTGAGACTAAATAAAAAAGTTAGCGGGTGGTTGGTCAGATGTTTAAAATGTATAGTTGTGCCGTAATCTGTTACACCAGCTAAGAAGTAGCAGCCGTGCTGCTGCGCCCTGTTTGCCCATGCCGCCTATTTGCGCAGCGGTGCACAATCTGTATTATCACAGTTGTACCATGGCAGCAGCTGCAGGGATGAAAATAATCCAGAATTATCTGGTACTGCTTGCTCAACTGACAAACTATCCTCTTACAGCTGTGCTTGTGCAGAAATGCGTCTTTGTGTGCTTAGCTCACAGTCTGCGCTTCACGCTCCACACTGATGGTTCGCTCTCAGCAGTATGGCTCTTCCTGTTCTTGCTACTTAATAAACTATATGTGGCTGATCATCCTCTGCCTAGGGTAGGGTAAAAAATCCTTTAGTCTATCAAGATTTTATTTCTTCCAGCTCACAAGCGGTGTTGCAAAACCTTTAATTTCTACCAAAAGAAAAGTAAATTATATCCAAAGAAAACATTTCATTGCATACTGTTTATTTTTGGGAAAAGACCCAGATGAAAAGTGACTGACTAAACTAGACTAAAACCTTTTTGAGTTTAAATCGACTAAAACTATCAGATATCGTAATGACTAAAATGTGATTTAAACTAATAATAGTTTTCGTCTTCGATACTAAATCTAAGATGGCTGTCAGAAACAACACTGCGCATGGCGGATCCAAGAGGAACCAGCTTAAACACAAATATTTAATCTGCAGTATGATTATTTGTTTTTTCCTAAATATAAATCCGTGTATATATTTGATGATATAAATAAAAGCCATCTTTAATTTATAAAAAAACTAACTAAAAAAAGCAGCTTCTCATAAAATCGAAGCAAATATTTCAAGGAACAAAATCTAAATTACTCCAAAAAAAACAGGTAGAAAAAAAGGTAGCTTCTTTTAGCTACAGATTTTGGAGAGAGCATCTTATCTATTGGTTGTTCTTCTTGCTGTGCTGCACACTTCTAGTGTGTATGTATCCAGTGAAGTCTTATTTCTCACTATAAACTTTGAAAAGGGACGAAAATCAGAAGAAGCGAAACTGTCTTACACGTTTCTGAGGAAAAAGGAAGGCCTTCGAAGGAAGAAAAAGATAAAGCCGGATTGTATTTGGGAGATTCTTTGATGCGATGGAGGTAGAGCTGGATTAACGGTCTAGCTAGGTCATAGCAATAAATAATAATTAAATGTAATAACTATCTACAGTATCTTCAATTACTATGTTGCTTTATTTTGGTTATATTGAGTTTATTTTCTCCAATTATTTCATATTGTGCATTAGTCTTCACAATTATTTATTGGTATAGACTTTGTTTGTCTATCTGCATGAAACTGAAACTGTGTTAAATTAAAAGCTTATTTGAAATGCATGTAAAAGCAGGTAAAAGGACTCAGACAGGTTTCTGGAGAGCGAATAAAAGAATATTTCCTGTGTTCTTAAGTAATGAAACAATTTGTATCAAGCTTCAAGACTTGAAAGGACATGTAGGTCAATAGGAAATATGAAGGTTGTTCACAGTATCTGGCATCAGACTACAATTTGTCATGTTATGTAAAGTAGCAAAAGCAAGCTCTTACATGTGAGTCTCGCTAAATGCTTGTGAGTCACTGACTGAGAGATGGGTGGAGGTTTTCACTCTCTTTCACCTGAGAAGACTTAACTCATGATGTTCACTTGAATGGCTGATATAAAGGCTTTTAGCACTTTAGGGAACATTCTGTACATTCAGAGAGCATTAAGGCTGAGCTTTAGTTTGATTAATGTAGGGTGACAGCGCCACTAAAGATAAGCCTTTCCATACATGCACCTCTTTCCATCAATCTGACAGCAGAGGAAGGTTATCTTCATGTCTTATTGAGCACGTGGCTCAGTTCCCACAGAATAACTTTCAACACTAATCAAGTCTGAATAAATAATGCAAAGAACTCTCATATCTTCTGCTCTTTTTTTATACTGTAAATAATAAATGGCCACCTCTTTTTCTTTTGTGATTGTGTTCTTCACGGATGATAAAAGATGACCACTATGCAATTTACATTTCAGATTTTAATGTGTATCTCTTTTAAAAGGCCTCCCATGTAAAGATTATGTCTATTTTATGTGTGTCTCCTATGGCTGCACTGATTTCAGTTTGATGTCAATGTCTTTAAAAAGCTTTAACTATTATTTCTGATTTTGGCAATTATTGATTTCTCTTCTTTTTTTCATAGCAAACGATGTATTGAACAGTACATATAGAACAATTCAAACTTGTAACTGAATGGCACATCTCTGTCAATTCTAAAGGAATAGCTAAGAAGATTTACAGAAGTAGATAAGATCGGTATCGCATACAGATATCAGCCTAACAACCTTAATTTAAGGGAATCTGGGCCAATCAATCAGCAGGCATGTTAGCTGGTGTACCCCTTGTATCTCTAGCAAATTTAGACTAATTTCAACTTTGAGTAGAAGGCCACCCTATAATAAAAGGCCACAACTGGCACCTGGGCTGCACTTTAAATAGCCCTGCACTAAAGTTTGGGGTAATAGTATGATGAAATCTAACTTAAAGGTATAGAGGATGATTTTTTATTTCTGGATGAATCATGGGTCCTCCTACTTTTCAATTATTCTGGTGATATGTTAACATAAGGCTGTCCCTTTTTCTGCGCATGCGCAATATGAGGCATTGATGTGTGGTGAGCTACGGTTTCAGCTAGTTATTGAAGCTCACCTTTCTCACCGTGGTTCTCTGAAAATGGCTGAGGGTCGTAAGAGAAAAAGTGTCTACGAATTGTATGAGAAGAAAAGAAGAGGCACATATATGCCGAAATGCTTTGTGCAGAGAGAGTTCTCCTCACAAAGCATTATTGGATTTGCTATCACAGCAGCCCTCTTGTCACCATAGGCTGTTGCTACCCGACAGTGGCGACTAATAACAAAGATGGCGCAGGCAGCGCGCGATTGAGGAGTTACATGACCAACGGGGAGCAAAAAGCAGTGCTTGTCTGTCAAACAGTCAGTTAAATGAGTTCACTATATAGTCCCCGCTCTATATAGTGATTGAGGGTTTTAGGGGTTCGGGCGGAAGTTCAGGCACAGTAAGCTTCTATGAGCCATGAGGAGAAATGGGCTCTCGCACATTCTATCTTGGGAGCAGATACAGGGTTGTGCAGGCGCCTTTTTTTTGTAAGTGGAGAGGGTGGGTGTTTTAAAAAAATCACAAAAATCCTCCACAGTACCTTTAAGAAATTACATAAATGCTTTTGCAATTTATTGTAAGTTAAATGCTTTCATTGTTGCCCTCAAAGTCACTGTTCTGTTCTGAAAAGTGCTTCTTATTTTTTAGGTTTTCATGTCAATGATGGGTAACGACAAGCAGGGACAGCTGATTGTCTATCACCTCATTGAGCTCCTCAAATCAGGCAGCAGGCTGCCTCAACCCCTGGGTTGTCCTTCAGAGGTAAAAATATATTTTGCTTTTATTTTTCTTAAAGGAAAATTCCGGTTTTTAACACTTTTAGCCCCTTTTCTGTAGTGTCCAGGATGAAATCGAATGATCGACACCAAAATTTTGACGATTGGTCCTGTCTCGGCTATTTGGCTCATGTAGAATCCCCCCTGGCTGCTTCAGAATGGCTTGCATTGTGCATGTCCGATAATGTCCTTAAAACAACCTTAAACGTTCTTTTTTAAAAATATGCTACTCACCGGGTCGTCAGCGCTGTTCAATGACGTTCCAAAAAAAGTTTCGTGAAGAAAAACCGTTCATCTTGTTTTATTTAGCATTTTGTAAATCCCAGAACTATTTTTTCCAATACATCACAACCGCTTATAAACTTCCGCTTCCCGTTCGAATCTGAAGCGTTGCACACTCCAGACCAATAGTTGGCGACAATGTCTCTATATACTCCTCCTCAGTATATTCCGGTTCAAAACGGTATCCTCTACCGTCAAACTCAAAGTCCAATATGTCCTCCTCAAGAATCCACCTTTCGTATTCCATTTTCAGAGTTTTTTAAAGTGTTTAACAGAGACGTTAGCACCTCGACGTCGGAGTACACAGAGTGAAGCAGAAACACTTGGGCCTTGCGAAAAATACAACTAAGCGTAAACAGGCCCCCTTTCCGTTTCCGGTGGCGGAGGGATATTGACTATTCCAACAGAACTCAATGGGATTTACAAAATGCTAAATAAAACACTACAGGAACGTTTTTTCTTTACGAAACTTGTTTTTGAACGTCATTGAACAGCGTTGACGACTCGGTGAGTAGCATATTTAAAAAAAAAGAACGTTTAAGGTTGTTTTAAGGACATTATCTGACATGCACTATGCAAGCCATTCTGAAGCAGCCAGGGGGGATTCTACATGAGCCAAATAGCCGAGACAGGACCAATCGTCAAAATTTTGGTGTCGATCATTCGATTTCATCCTGGACACTACAGAAAAGGGGCTAAAAGTGTTAAAAACCGGAATTTTCCTTTAAAGCTAAAGCTCCCACAGCACTGAATGACTTTCACCAAGTAGTACCAACTGTTGGTCAATTAGACTGGTTTACACCACTGCTATAAACAGTTTAGATGTATTAGTCATCCTTCCTTTTAACTCCCTGATTTTTTTAGGGATATTTTAGCCTCTTGAAATGTGGCATTTATTTTCTCATCTAAAAAATTCATCAGCCTAAAGCTACATCCTTTAAGGGCTGCTCTTTGTCACGCTACACAAGCTGACAGTGTAAATGTTTCCAGATTACTCTAAGTCCAGATGTGTTTGTAAATGCTAATGAGCCGTTTTCCTTCAGTTCCCTGCTGAAAACATTGTTTCTTTTAACTCCTCTTAGATATATAGTATTATGGAGGAGTGTTGGGATAAAGACCCAACTCTACGTCCGTCTTTTAACGAGCTGGCTTTGCGCATCGACCTCATCAGGGACGAGGAATTTTGAAAATAAAGTGCCCACCTTGTTTTGAACCCAAGACATTAGAAACGCTGCTGCCCAGATTGTGGCTGAAGTATGAAGACCAAAGAAAGGATCATCTGCCCCAGCATGCTCTAAAGCGCCAAGACTTAGAATGAGGATCTACTGCCGAGGTGCCTTCAAGCATGGCACTTTTCTGATGTGGAGCAGCACAGTGGCCTTTGGCTGGTTGGAAATGCTCAGACGGCTAAAAAAATTTTGAAGGGGATGCCGCTGAAAATGAGCAACTGTATTTGGTCAAAGTTTGAAAAGAAGACTTGAAGCAACAATAGAGACTGTGACAAAACTGTTGCCAGACCTAAAGCTAGAAACGCTTGTGGTGAACAAGTTCTTTATGTGATTATTGTGTGTGTCTGTGAGTGTGTGAGCATGTGCCTCTGCATGTAAGGAGCTAGCTGGGCTAGCTCCAACGTCCCCGTCTGTCACCTAAGAAGTGAACTAATAGCTTATTTTTTATATGTTTAACTGACTGTATTATAGCTGTAGCATTGTGTACATATGTCAGAAAGATTTTATAATTTTATAAATTTAAATAATATTAACACTATTTGAGGTGCCAGCAACTGCCATTGTAAAGTATGTGCATAAAAAGGTGATCTTAAAAATCTGTCAAGTTTTTGTTGTGGCATGGTAATTAAAGAACATATCTGTGAAGCAATTTCTGAGCATGTCTTCTCTTAGTTTTATGGCATTATGTTTCTGTAACCAATTTCAGGATTTTATGTCTTCCAGCTGCTAAGAGATTTGCAACACTTTCATTGGTTTGTACCAAAGAAATACCCCTAATATATCCGAAATATTTCTTCTATTATTTTTATTGCTGATGTTTTGAAACAGACACAAATTTCATGGAACAGAAATTTTTTTTTTTTTTTTTACTAGAAACTAATTTCTCATAATTCCAGTTGGGAAGCATGTCTTACATTTCACTTAGTAGATTTAAAACAAAAAAGTATAGATATTATTTAAGAAGTTAATCCAAAACAGACTTTTTCATGTACCGCTCTAAAGACTGTAATAAGTGATAGGTAATTAATGGTATAGTGGAGGATGTTGTTTTTCTGGGAGGATCATCAAAATAAGTGATCCTCCTAATTGTTAATCATTCTCATGATATGATTATGTAAGGCCGTCCTACATGTTCGCCCCCCCATTTTCACCTACCGGTGGAGAGTCTGACATAGTGGTGAAATTGCAAATTCTTTTGGAAAGTAAGCTTGTATGATCGATGCAAACAGCAACTTTTAAATAAAGCGTGCATGAACCCATTTCTCCTCGTGCACTCTCTGTTTTAAAATAGCTGTTTTTCAGTCTCGCACACGTTTAACAGCTGTTCCTTCCCGGTAGTGGGCACAGGATTGTGAATGTAATTTTTTTTTATTTGTGGAAATTCTCCTTTATACCTTTTAAGCATTTTCAAAAAATAATGGAAAACGAACAAATGGTGTGATTATGAGAAATGGTGTAAAGATAATGTCTGTGCTTTCTCATGTGGGTCTTTATCATCGATATTTAGTGCTTATAATGCACAGTTATAGTGTATGTGTACATACAACTATACATATATTCACACTTTCTAAAACTGCATTCTAGGCAGTAGTTGGGGCACTTAAAATTGTTTTTACTACTTTTCTCTGTTGGAGATTTTAATTTTTTTCTAAGGTCATCAAAAACTCAGCATCCTGCCCGTTAAGGTCAGGTTTAAAACAATGTAGATACTTTTTTTTCCAATGGCCATATTTATGCAGATACAACTTTCAATTGTCCTGCTTTTGTTTTCAATATGTAATCATATATGATCGTATCATGACATGCATCATATCAAAACACCCATCCCAATTCTCCCCCTTATTAGATACAAAAAAAAAGTGTTATTTTTCATTTCTGCAGTATTTCATCCGGAGTTAAACGTAAAAAAAAAAAAAAAAAACGGGGTTATGTATGAAGGACTGATATATGAGCGTGTGCAAATGAGCCGCATGCCATCAAGTTGTTGGCTCAAAAAAACAAGCCATATTTTGTTAATACTTCTACAGAAAAAATCTGATAATTTTGTTGAAAAGCATTACTTCCTAGGAAATGGAGTGGATAGTTATGATTTTCGATTTTTGTTTTGTTTTGTTTTGTTTTAATTAAACTTAGCTTTAACTTTTGTAAAGGAAAGATTTTACATAACGGGAACAGGAAAAGACACGTTTTCACCATAGATTTGACATCCCATGCATTTGCAGATGTACACTGCCCTAAGCGAAACTTTCATGTGCATGTAATAACAGGATGTATCTGGACTTGGCTATATAACAGCAATAAAGAGATCAATTTCTGCCTAAAGCGCTCAACACCTATTACATCAAACTGAAAAAAATGTCCATTAGCTTCTGAAATATTTAATTTCTCTTTGGGATTAATAAAGTATGTTGAATTGAACTGGGGCTGCATGGTAGGGCAGTGGGTTCCACTGCTGCCTTGAAGGTTCTGGCTGTACAAAGGTTCCTGGTTCGATTCCTGGGGTCTTTCTGCATGGAGATTGCATGTTCTCCCTGTGCATGCGTGGGTTCTCTCCAGGTACTCCGGCTTCATCCCACAGTCCAAAAACATGAATGTTAGGTTAATTGGTTTCTCTAAATTGTCCTTACATGTGACTGTGTGTGCATGGTTGCGCGTCTTTGTGTCTCTGTGTTGCCCTGCGACAGACTGCCCACATGTTTAGGGTGTACCTCACCAGTTGCCCATAGACTGCCGGAGATAGGCACTGGCACCAGCGTGACCCGAACCAGGACTAAGCAGAAGACGATGGATGAATTGATTTAAGATCATGACTTAAATTGTCTGCTTAAAGGCCCTTCATTTAAGCAGACAATGATTACTCTGTGGAGAAAAAAAAACAATGAGACCTTAACTCTGTTAGTGGTGATATTAGTTTCTAACAAAAAACAGATGTGATTTGCGTATGTGGCTTCTGTTGAATTATTTTAACATATACAAAAATTCTCCATGAATTAGGATGCTTCTTTAAATTAAGCTCCAAACTCAAAAACCATCAAACATGATCCTGTCAGACATCAAGTGCTAGGTGTCATTAAAATTGGATTTTCAAAAGTGTATGTGCATTCACTTCATGTTGTCCATCTGGGTTGTTGACGGGTGGAATGCAGAGCAGCTTGTGAAGAGAGTTTATAGTACTGGTTGCCTGAGGGGGAAGAAAAGCCTGTCCATGGTCTGGATGTTCTGCATTCACTTACCCAACATAAGCATAGGCATTTGGCGGGAGGGGTCTAATGTGATGTTTGTGGCCTTTTCTGGTGCAGCTCTCTATAAATGAGGCAGGAAGCGGGTCAACGGTTATCCGTTCTGCCATCCTCACAATTTCTTTGCAGGGTTTTCCTTGCCGACAGCAGAACAACTGCCAGACGGCACACTAATGCAATATATCAAGATACCAAGATGCGCTCAATTGTCCATTTAGAATCGTGTCATGATCACTGAGGCTTGTTTTTCCTTTTCAGTCTCTGGAAAATATAAAGACATTGCTAAGGTGTTTGTTTGTTTTTTGTGCAGTCTGTGGTGTTTGTAGACCTGGTCATGTTCTCTGCGATGCACACCTGTATGAATTTGATGTTTTGAATCACTGCTTAATTCTGTTATCCTTGTAGGTTTTTGAATCTTGCATTGTATATTACTGCTGTGGATTTATATATAACAAGCTGTGGGTTAAAGATTGCTTAAGCTGTAGATACTTTTTCTGTTTTGGAAATTGTAAACATGTTAAATAACTTTGCGAGTCAACTGCAAACCAACAATGTTAGATCAGAATTGGGGTTATATGACCAAAAAGCATGTATAAACATAGTTTTTACTGGAAAACTGTAAAACTTAGTTATGAAACTGTACATTATCCTGTTTCATAACGGGTACATATGTGGTGAATGCCGTACAGCATGTTCCTATACACTTACATGCAGAGATGGGAAGTAACGAAGTACAAATACTTTGTTACTGTACTCAAGTAGATTTTTCTGATATTTTTACTTTACTTTACTACTTATTTTTATGGCGACTTTTTACTTCTACTCCTTACATTTTTACACAAATATCTGTACTTTCTACTTACATTTTAAAAAATTGTCTTGTTACTTTAGTTTTGAATCATTTCAATGGAGTTACCGTTATTATTTTTCACGTCATCAATACCAAATTCAGTCTAATTGGATGGGAATCTACATTGCATTTGACGCACCACTACAAGATGAATCGACAGATTCGGCGGTATTAATTCGCTGCAAATCATTGCAGCTTGGTGGCGGTGGCGTTAGCATAGTAGTATGGACGACGAGATGATTGAAAACGAACGCAACGGATATCTGGTCCTATTGGCAGACATCCATTTAAAATGTAGGCAACGGCATGAAAAAAGTGGTTTCTACTTTTACTTTTATACTTTAAGTAAATTTACAAGCCTGTACTTTGTTACTTTTACTTGAGTAAAGAAGTTTAATCAGTACTTCCACTTTTACCAGAGTATTTTTCAACACAAGTATCTGTACTTTTACTCAAGTACGGAAAGTGAGTACTTTTGCCATCTCTGCTTACATATGATACCACTCCCCCTTTTTGGATTAGTGTCAAAGATTTGAAACAAAAAAAGCGAACAAAATGTAACAAAATGAAGAAGGGAAAAAACGAACATGAAAAAATAAGAAGCGAACATCAAGCATATATCAATCTCTGAAACGAAAACAAATATCTGCTTTGAAGGTCTTGGATGAAAAAAGGGGCCTCCAAGACTCATAACTGAAAGAATTTTGAAGCCACCAGGTCTCATCCTTGGTGATTTCCACTGCTGCCCCTGAAATTAACAAGGATTTTAACAGGGAAATCTTTAGTGAGTCTAATATCTAAAATATCTGCAGAAAGACCACAACTGAAAATCCTAAATTTTTCTGCTTCTCTGTCATTCAGCTCAATTCATGACTGGTAGCAGTTTTTACTACGGTATTTGTTGTTTAGATAACATTAATTTACAATGAACCCAACTCTGGATAACCATTAAACCAGCCTATCTCTAATACTTGAAGGACTTCAGATTGTTCCTATATATCTACTGTCCTTCTCATAAGTTTAAGGTTTAAAGGATCTCTCATGTGTCTTGCAATATACATCACTGCTGTTAGTTAACATACATTATGTATGACGGCAGACTTTTACACGTTTACCAATGCTCATTGGTAGGAACAACCCTATTATTGAGGAAAAGCTGCAGATACTTTAGTTGTTTGAAAACTGCAGGAAAATCATGTTAAAAATTGTATACCTTCTACTTTTACTGCGAAGCTTTCCAATGTCAACTTTAAACCAAAATGTTAGATCTTTCAGTACGTACTTATTTATTTTTTTGTTTGTTTTAACCATAAAGGTTATGGAAATATAGACTACATAAACTCTGAAATCCAGTTATGAAACTGCCAGTCAAAACTGCCTATAGCAGTCTAAGCCAATGTTATAGGCTTAGACTGCTTTTTATCATTCTGCTTCATTCTATCTCTATTCTCCCATTCTGCAGTATTTGTTAGTTCAACCTCTAACTTTATACTGTCCTTTTTCTCATCATAGTAGCTTCATCTGGTCTGTTCCTGTTTGGCTGTGATACCATCCGGGAGAGACATATCAGCTGGACTGCTACCATCGACACCTTTGTTTATATATTTTGAAGCTTGGCCTGTTTTTCAGTGTAGTTCTGTTTCTCTGACTGTGACTAACTGTATTTGCTCTCTTTCATCCTCATCCCAGTGACATGGGAGCTGGCTCAAAGCTCATCCGCCTGCCTGTGTCTTTCCTGGACGGGGCCGCCTGTGAAGCTGGTTGACATTTAGCATTTGCATCTCTGCTTCTTTCTGTATCTCTACTTCTGTCTCCTTGAATTCCATTAGACCTCGACAGATGGTCGCTCACACCGAACCTGGTTCTGCTGGAAGTTTTTTCTTGTTAAAAGGAAGTTTTTCTCTCCACTGTTGCTACAAGCATGCTTGGTGTGATTGATTCCTGTCAAGTCAATGAGTCGATGCAATCAGCTGGTTTTCCTTAGATAGAAAACTTTGAACTGTCTCTGTAAAGTGCCTTGGGTGGACATGTGTTGTGAATTGCCGCTATATTAATAAATCAAACTGAATTGAACTGACAGTAGTGTAAAGAGCTTCAGAGTCCCTGGACTTCATACAGTGCTGTATAAGAACAGGGCATTAACCATGAATATGTTTGAAAGAAGTAAAACACTTTTCTGGGGAGAAATTATTTAACAAACTTTGAATAATACACTGGCGACCTGTCCAGGGTGTACCCTGCCTTTCACCCATAGACTCCCGGAGATGGGCATCGGCCCCATCGCGACCCTGACAGAATAGGTGGGAGAGGATGGATTGATGCATGGAATTAATAATAAAGTCACATATCTGGATGCCAAAAAAGAGACAAAAAAATAAATAAACTACTTACAGTGCAGATTGACTGTAAATAGTTATTTAAAAAAAGAGATAACTTTTAATTTCCCCGCTTTTTATTTTTAATACCTTTTCAGGTCTCAAAGGTTTGGCTTACTATTTCATAATTTTTATTTTTTATTTTAGAGCAGTTTTTTAATGTAGAAATACTTATAACCCTTTCTTAACTGGAAAAAACAAAAACGATATAAGATATAGACACGTCATTGTTTTCATGTACACAAGGTTGCAATTTAATCTGATTTGTTTCCAGCCACTTTATTTTATCGACTAACTCGAAATAAACAACTTTAGGACCAGTTTCTTGAAATTCTTGACGCAATTATGAATAAGTGAAAGAATCAGATTTTCTTCAACAAACATAAACCGGAAGTGACGTTTAGTCCGGATTATTTTTATCCCTGCTGTCAGACGTTGGGTTTTCTTTCAAAAAAAGAGTAATTCTGCTATTCTCGATATATTTAGCGAACAGTTTCTGTTTATTTATTAATTCAATTGTTTTCAAGCAACATAAATACCGTAAACGTTTATGTTGAGAAAGGTCGGAGCCTTCGCTGCTCTTATTTCCGTAAGAAAATCAAATATAATTTACGTAGTTCATTGCAAATTAATTTTCTGTATTGTATATGTTAAGAAGGTATGGAATTAGAGCATGCGTCTAATTTCATAGGTTTTCTTTTTGTTGTTTTATTTTACAGGGGGGTTAAAAATGAGCGTACCGTAGATTCTGGAGTAAATGCGCACGGTAATTGAACGCATAGATATTGAACGGGGAGTGAATCTGACTGCGCAGAATAAAAGGAGCTCCGCTGTAGGCGTGCGCTCCTTTGAGGGATAACAAATGTCGAGGATCGAGGACAGAAAACATCGTAGAAGGATTGTGAGTTGATGCGTTTTATTCTTTGCTTTCTGGTCCTCGGCATGTTTGTTGGGCCATTATAGCCTAGTTGTTCTTCAGGTTTAGTTTATGCAGCCGTGAGATGAAAAGGAAAGAAAAAAGTGACATGAGGGTTACTGTTTTTGCTTCAGATTTGACATTTTACACGATCTCATTTTATTTATCTGTCAGGGCTCTTAAGTTTTTGCAAAGAAAAAAAATCCAAAGAGAGACATTTGATAAACATCTGTCTTTCCAGCCATCCGCTTCTTGTTTGTTTATTTACCTACAGCTCTATTCAGCTTTATATCCTGATTGAAATTGAGCAGATTAAAACAGAAAAAAAGATTATGGGTAAACCAGGTCATTTGTTTTTCTATTTAATAGAAAATGGACAAAAATATAAACGACACAGATCATATTATGTCTCAGCTGTCTGATGAGAAATTCAACCCCAACAATGAAAATCTCATCTGGTTTAGAGTTGGTGTCCTAATGTCAAACATGATGGGATGGAGAAGTTCATCTGTCTGCACTCTAGAACCCCCTACTGAGCCCAACCTGAAATTCACAACATGGACTCAGTCTTTACTTTCCAGATCCAGCTATCTAACCTTTTTTCCTTTGCCTTTCAAATTTTTTATTTTGAATTACTGACAAAAAAAGGTCACAATTATTGACTGACAAGACTTGTTCAGCTCAGGATCAAGAGGATTATCACTTAAATAGGACACACATGGAACTGAATTGACATTTAGCAAATGTATCAGCACCCAGTGGAGTCTAGCTCAAATACAGGGAGGTTAGTGAATTCAATGTGCTGGTAGGTTTTGTATAAACCTTAATAATCATTGCCAGCTTTTATAAAAGGTCTTACGTTTGTTCTACATCCAATTTGATATTTTCTTTAGGGCACCACAGTTACATTTGAAATCTAGATAAGTATTTTTTTTCTTCAAATAAGTGCATTTTTTCTTGAATTGAGCAGGTAGTGAGACACTTTGCCAATGAAACAAGACAATTTACATTTAAAATAAAAAAAATATATATTTTTTTTATTACTTCAAGGTCATATTATGAGTAAAAATACTCATTCCATTGGAAAATCATCTTATTTACCTACTCAAATGAAGGGTAAATACACTAAATTAAGGACATTTTTCCTATTTCTAGATATGTTTTTGCAATGTATTAGTTTCACAAAGCCATATCTTAATTGTAAGGATGGCATAAAACACTTTTTAGCAATTGCCAAAATTACTTCGTTTAGCATCTTAGCATGATTTGACTCTAGGTTAGAATTGAACACTAAGCCCATATGGATGTTTGATCAAATTGAAAACACTTTTTAGCATGACCCCTGCAGTTTAGAACGGTTGCGTGGAGGAATGTCCCTTCCACCATACCACGTCTAAAACAAAAAGAGGATATTTATGTGGTGTACACATATGCAGCTGATGCAAAAAACAACAAAAAGAAACAATTAGTAGCCTAATTTGAGCCTTTAGGGCAGAATTTGCCTCTTCTCTGCACAGTCGTTTCCATCACTACTACTTTATTGATATTCCCATGCTTTCTCCTATTTAATAATCGAGCTATCTATGTCTGTTATTGTTAAAGTAAACTGTATAAACCCTTTAAGAATGCTCTAACATATATACTCGGCCAGAGACATAGGAAGTACCTTCCAACGTCCTTTTTCTCAGTTCAGCCTTCTTGAATAGTTGTGGTGTACATAGTGCATCTGACTTAAAGAAACCAGTCGAGCATGTTCTATTGATTTATTTTTAAAAATGTAGCTGTTAACCAGTTCAACTGGTTATTTTACGTAATGTATTTGTATATTTGTGTATATTTTGAGAAATCAAAATGGCCAAAGCTTGATTGTGTTTTGTTTTTCTTTTTTTATTCAAAACATCCTTGTTTTTACCTTTTTTGCTGTTCTTAAAAGGTTTTTGGTAAAGACAGAATGTGCACATTCACTGCTATATGTTTGACTTTCATGTCTTCTAAATGCTTGGGTGATTCTTAAATGACAGCCTCCGAGCTGCAGCTGGAGGAGAAGCCCACTGAGCAGTTGGAGATGAAGCCCAGAGGAAGGGGACCTCCTGACGGGGGGTACGGCTGGGTGGTGGTGGCGTCAGCCTTTCTCGTTATGGGCCTTACCGGAGCTGTCCTCAAAAACTTTGGCCACTTCTTCCTTGAAATCCAGCATCACTTTGGAGTCTCAACCAGCACTACCTCTTGGGTTTCCTCCATAACTATTGCCATGTTTCACATAGGAGGTGAGTGTATAATCTGTTTATCGTCTCTTACTTTAAACCCAGTTATGTTTTTAAGGTTTTTCTTCTTTGTTGTTGCATTTTTTTTTTTTTTTTGCACTAGGTCCAGTAGCCAGTGCTCTGACTTTACAGTTTTCTCAGAGAGTGGTCATCATTTTAGGAGGTCTTCTATGCACTTTGGGCATGTTGCTGGCATCCTTGGACCTCAGTCTGCCTTGGCTCTACTTCAGTATGGGTTTCCTGCAAGGTGGGTGGACATGATAAAAAAAAATAGACTTGGCAGTGTGGACTTTCTGATGGTATTTTACTTAAATTATTTAATTAAAATCTTAAAATTTCCCAGCTTATTCAAAGCCTCACTTGTGATATGTCCTGTTTTTGACAGTTGTTGTGCAGTTCTGCTGCAAGAATTCACTGCGTTTACAGTCTCATGTTTCCCTATTTATTTAATCTATCATGTTATTCTGACTTATAAAATGAAAATATTTATTTTTATATGGCCAGTCAAGTTTGTTAAAAGCACATTTCAGGAGTAAGACAATTCAAAATGCTGTACATGAAAAAAACATGAGCAAAAAACAGAGAAAACTTGATGGCAGCGGCATAATTACTAAATATTAATTTAAAAATTGCAATTAAATGATTACGATTATGTTTATAAAAATGAGTAATAGAATAAATTGTTATAAAATAAAATAAAAAGGTGGACTAAAAACTTAAAATAATAATGTGTAGATGGCACAGCCAAAGGCCACACTAAACCAATAGATTTGTTCCAACTTTGGGTTTTCAGCACTTTTACAGTCTTCTGTTCCAGTTTAGTGGCACCTAAAAACTAAACACTGAGTCTCCATGTTTGGTTCTGGTTCTGGATATGAAGAGTAGACTTGAGCCAAAAGACCTGAGAGGTCTAGGTGGTTGATACACTGACAACTGATCTGCTAAGCTCTCCAGTGATGTATAATATAAAAGATATACTGTATTTTAATGTATTTTTTTCTGAGATATATGTGTAACAACTTTAGAACTAGGATGATGTGCTCCATTTTCTCAGTTTAAGTGAGGACGCAGGCAGCAGTATTTTTGATCAGCTGCAGCTGTCAGATTGATCTTTTATAGAGTGAAGACAACGCTGCAGTTTTCAATTCTACTGAAGATAAGCACACAAATTAGTGTCTTCCATGTCCTGCTGAGACAACCATCTTTTAATCATGGAAATGTTATTTATGGGCTAGAAGGATGACTTAGTTTCTGTCTTTATGAGTCTCTAAAGGTTAAGGTCTGAGTCCATCACTACACCCAGATTCTGAGCCTGACTGGTTGTTTCCAGCTCTATTAACTTTAGGTCTGCTAACTTTTGAACACTTTTCCTTTGGTCCAAATTCAATTACTTCAGTTTTATTTTTTGATTCAGCTGAAGAAAAAATGTCTGACAAATCCATGCATTCAGTTCTTCTATGCGTTTAACTAGGGTTAGAATAGGTAAAAATCCTGAGCCAAACCACTGTGTTTTTCTCTAAAAAGAAATTTAAGAATTTATGAATAAGATTACAAGAACGTCGGCCTAAATTATTTTGACCCTGTAAGACCTAAACAAGGAAACGTTTCTATAAACTCAGTTTTATTTGACGGCGATAGAAGTTCCTAAACAGCACTGGATAGATTCTTTGGCAACCTTGTTAAGACTCCGTAAGCAAGGATAAGGGTCTTTTTTAAAAAACCCAAACCTTAGTTCTAAAACATTGATTCAGCAGTGGAAAAAAAAATCCATTCTCATGTGGCCAAAGAACTGCACCTAGTCTTCACCGTGAACACTTCCACAGATTCAACATATGCAACCATATAAAAGCATCCTCCTGCCTACTTTCCCCTTAAAGAAAAACAAAACAACAGTTTCAGATGAATTAAAGAACTAGGGCTGCAACTAACTGATATTTAGCTAAATGAATAATCTGTTGATTTTTTTTATTAAATAATTAATAATCGGATTGCAAAAGGGTCCTTAAAGATGATTTGTTACCAAATCAAACAAGGTTAACTAAAGATTTTCCTCTTGAGGAAGTCAGAATTGAGCATATTTTCAGAGGAAGAAGTTTGTTATCTTAAATGCAAAATGTTTACATATTGTTTGACAATTTTGGTCAAAATTTGTACAATTTTGGTATAATTGCTGTTTAAGGTGGGTTTCTCTGTCAGCTAAACACATATTATGGAGTCTTTGCAATTCAGCTAACCATTAGTTGATTACTAAATTAGTTGAGAATAATTTCAGTAATCAATTAATCACTATTAATCTGATTAAATAGAACAAACAGCATTGTCACACATAGGAGCTGATTTTCTACCAGCTTCTCTCCCACCTTCACATATAGTGTAAATTCCATGAACAACATGGAGCAATAACTGTGTTTTTAAGTTGGAATATTTATATTTCTGTCACAATATCCTCCTACTGCAACACTTCTGAAATTCAATATTCATTTTTATGCATGTAAAGTCGCCTAAAGCCAACCAAAAGCATACATCTGCTTCCACAGCTATTTGGTTAAATGTAAACAGTCCTTTTTATATGAAGCCATATTGATGTATATGTTCAGGTCGTATAGGCCTCATTAAATGAGGGTTAGGTTTGACTGAACTGTGCAGAATAATTTCTACCTGCGTGAAACTACAGACGATAAATAAAGATTCTGATTGTTAAAATTAAAGTACACATTTAAAAGAAGCTTTAGTAAAAATTTTTGAAGTGATTGTAATGGATTTCATTAAATTAGCCAAAGGTTTGTTTAAAACTAATATATTCTAACATGGGCTTTGCCCACTAGATTAATCTAGGCATCAGTAAATATAACCAGCGCTCTTATTTAATAAGTGTCTATTTTTCCAGTTTCACTGCATAAAGTCTCTGATGTCTTATTAGCTACAGCAAGCTTTAACGTTTCTTGTTATGAACCCTTTTTTTTTTACCCATTATTATGTAATGCTTTTTCTTATAACGTTTATAACACAATATTCTTTAACTTTTGTGAAAACTACAACTTAAAGTAATTGAGAGACTGTCAGGAGCATCAAACTTGGGCTACGTTTTATGTCATTTTATTTAGAAAATGTTAGAGACTGAATTCTGGGACAGAATTATTTTCTTGCAGTTGCGGCCGTTTAAGTCACCAGGTCATTGCACTTTTTTGGATCATCAGATATTTCTCTCTGAAAACCCTGTTTTTCTACTAATGTGCTCAGGGTCAGGTGATTTTTATCGGCTAAGTCTGGTGTTTTCTTTATCCAGAGATACAACTTTTTTCTCCCCGTTCTTCTTCTTCCAGGTACAGGCATATCATTGTCATGGATTCCTGCCATCAGCATGGTAAATCACTACTTCTTGCGGTGGCGCCCTGTCGCCTATGCTGTCGCCAGCTCAGGGGAGTGCGTCTTTGCCATTTGTTTCAGTCCTCTATTTAAGTGGCTCATAGAGACGTACAGCTGGCAGGGCGCTTTGCTCATCATTGGGGGCCTTCAGTTAAACCTGTGTGTGTGCGCCGCACTCATGAGACCTCTGGAGAGTGCTGCGCAGAAAAACAGCAAAGGAAGTGCAGAAGCACTGCCCTCAAAGAGGAAGCCAACCTTCCAGTGTTCCCTGCTGAAGAAACCTGAACTTCTTCTCTATATATTGTTTGCAATCTTTGCAGCGGCAGGGTTTTTCATCCCGACTCTCTTTCTGGTCCCCTTTGCCAACAGTTTGGGGATAGACCAGTACTGGCCAGCCTTTATTCTCTCTGTTATTGCTGTTGCAGACCTCTTAGGCAGGTTGTTTTGCGGCTGGCTCGCTAAAATGAGGTTTCTGAGGAACCTGCAGCTTCTCCCCACGGTAGCCATTCTGCTCGGCATCGTTCTGCTTCTGCTGCCGGTCAGTTCCAACTACTGGTCCATCCTGGTCTTTGCGTCGCTCTATGGCTTCCTGTTTGGCTGCGTGGTCTCCATTCATGTTACCACCATTGTGGACATTGTGAGCTTGGAGGGCTTTGACAGCGGACTGGGTCTCTTCATGCTGTTCAGGAGCATCGGAGGCTTCACTGGTCCACCTGCTGGAGGTAAGGAGATTATGATGGAAGTTTGTTTTTTAATGAGATTTGTTTGCACCATTGCAAGGCTGGGTTTAATTGTTAAATTATTTTTTATTTTTTTTTTAAACAAAAATGTCAAAGGTGTTTCAACACCTTTTTATTCGAACACCTAAATAAAATCAGTGCAACAGAGTTATTAGTGAGAATTAAGGAGTTTGTATTTTATTAGACACATTTGTCATATAAAAAAGTCTCTTTTGAGTCCCATTCAGGTGTCAAGAATGATACTGACTTTGACCACCAATCTTTATCTATATTTTATACCCACTTCTGTCTGCAGTACTTCCGACTTCTCATTAATTACATTTAAATGACTGAAATTTTATCAGTCATTTCCATTAAATCTAGTAGTGAAGGCTTTGAAAGGCAAGTTTCCACATTCAGTTCAGTGCTCCAATTCGAAGAAGGAAAAAAAAAGTTGAAATCCCTTTACTGACTCAACATTGATGCCAAGATTACTGAGAAACATGTCTATTGATGTGTATTTTTCCGGTCTGACGGTTTCTGTAGAAGTCAGAGATGAAACCCATCGGAGTCTGAGAGGATTAGGAGCTGAAGCTGGCCTTGCTTCAAAGAAACCCTCATGATTTTAGCTTTAAATCATCTATCATCATGTTTTCTCTTCTTGCTCTCTTATTTCTTCAGACTGATTTATCCCAAAGGATACTAGATATGTTGCAAAGCATTTTTTGGAGAAAATTTGATCAATATGAATAACTATTCCTTCCTAGTTTTGATTAGGTCTAAAGGCTAAAGGTATTATAAAACCTTGAGCTAATCTAAAGAGGTATGTTTAATGAGCAAAGAATGTTTTTGTTTTTAGTTTAGATTTGTAGAAGCATTTGGATTTTTAAGTGCCCATCCATCCATCCATCCATTTTCTGTCACGTTTATCCCAAGCGGGGTCGCAAGGGGTGCTGGTGCCTCCAACTCTCTACGGGTGAGAGGCGGGGTACACCCTGGGCAGGTCGCCAGTCCATCACAGGGCAACGCAGAGACAAACAACCATTCAAGCCAACATAAGGAGAATTTAGAGAAGCAAATTAACCTAAACGCAGAGGCGCACCTTGTCAACAGGCAAACCAAGCAACTGCTTGGAGCCCCGAGCCGCTGGGGGGCCCCCGAGAGCCAGCTACTGTACACCCGGTAGAAAAACAGCAACAGGCGAGCATGAAGTGGCAACGCTATAGTAACTGAGGAGATGCACAACTGCATATAAAAATTCAGATTGGATGGAATGTTGATTGACATTGGCTTTGCCCAGTCAAAATCCAGCCCAGCCCAGGTGGATAACTTCCCTTAATGAAAATGAACGTAGCCTAGCGAATGGGTGACGTTGTAGGCCTATCGTTCAGTAAATTGGAAAGCAATTATGTAACTCAGCTGAAGGAAAATGATTCATTTTCCATGTCTCAAGAGAGACTTTCAGGACTGGCGCTTATTTCCATAGAGTATAGTGTGCAAAGGTCTTTGGATCTGGAGGACTTATGTCTGCATTTGCACAAGCCAAGGCCCGTAAGCAGCAATTCTGGAAGCAGTATAGGACCCCAATCATTTCACTACACTTACTATAACTACTTTATATTTTGTACAAAGTTTATATTGGGTTTTTAAAGTAATTTACTTTTTATTTTATTTTATTATACATTTATTTTAATTTATTAGTTTATTCTTTACTTTTATTCTTTTATATTCTCCAAAATAACAAGGTTGTTCATGTTTAGAATATTTGGAATAAAAAAAAAGGTTTTATTTAATAAAATTTTCATTGGTGTCAGATTATTTATAGCCTAACATAATGGTGATGAACACTGGTCAGTAGGGCCCCCTAGGATTTTTTGCTTGGGGCCCCCACAGACTCTAGAATCGCCTCTGCCTAAACGTCATGTTTTTGGACTATTGGAGGAAGCCGGAGTACCCAGGGAGAACCCACGCATGCTCGGGGAGAACATGCAAACTCCATGCAGACAGACCCCTGGCCTGAAATCAAACCCGCAACCTTCTTGCTGCAAGGCAGCAGTGCTACCCACTGAGCAGCCCTTTTTATGCCCTTATTCAAATATTATTTTTCTCCAACAACATAAAGATTAAAGTTTATTAGAATTTATTAGTTATTTGTTAGGGGGTCTATGAGCAGTAGAAGAACTTAGATCAGGCGATGCTGGTGATGCTATCTAAGCAGGTTTTTCTTAGCTGTGTTCACTTGCTTTTTTGACAGTAGAAGCATTTCCAGCAGTGGTTAAAGCCCCTGTCAGCATTTGTGATGCAACAATCTTTTTAGCATGGGCGTAGGTTTGCATAGGGACCATAGGGACATGTCCCTCCCAAAATTTTGGAAGGACCCATTTGTCCCTACCAATAATTGGATGTGAACAACATGTTTATAATTTACTATACAGCAGCCGCTTCTTTTCCTCTCGGTTTAACTCTCTGATTATTCTGCCTTAAGTTCCGCCTTCTCTCTTTCTGATTGCGTGTTTTCTAGTCTGTATGTGCGCGCGCGGCGTGGGTGCTTGGAGCGCAAAAAAAAAAAGACGCTAAAATAAATTAATATTGGGCTACGAAACTAGTCCAAATTAAAAACTTATTATCTACGCTAAAACAGGCGAAAGCTTCTGATTGGAGTTCTGTAAAGAAGCAGGAGAGAGTTTTTTTATTTGTGGAACTTGAGAAATGTAAGTTAACAACATTAGGATTTCTTTTATTTTATCTTTTAATCAGATAGCCAAAGGCTCCTTAAAGAAGATCTTTTATGAAATGAAACCAGGTGAAACAGAAACGTTTAAACGTTTCCTTTGGAGGAGTTCTGGATGGACCCCGCCTCTCGCCCATTGACTGCTGGAGATAGGCACCAGCACCCCTCGCGACCCCAATTGGGACAAGCGTGTAAAGAAAAAGGATGGATGGATGGATGGAGTTCTGGATGAAGAATATTGACAGACAAAAACTTCTTTTTTTTTACTTCTTAAATGCAAAATGTTTACATATTTTTTACAATCTTGGTATAATTCCTGCTCTAAGTGGGTCGCTCTGTCGGCTAAAGGCACATTTTAGTGGCCCTATACTCCAGTTTACGATTAATCAATTACTAAATTAGTTCACGATTATTTAAATAATTTGTTAATATGATTAATTGTTTCAGCCATAGATAAAATACATGAAATTAGCTACACAGAGTAACAACAGCCCAGATGTACAACTTCTAATATTAATATTTTAAATGCTCAGTGTCAGTTCCTCTTCTAGTTCCAGTGCACATGTAAATACAATACATTTATTTGCCGTCCCTTGAATGTATTATTTTGCATGATCCAGAGAGAGCATATTAGATAAAAAAAAATAAGAGTGCGTTTTACCTCTGCACAATTCTCTATCTTCAGAAGAAAACACAGGATAAATCCACATATTTAGACTATATTTGGTTAAACAGACACTGTCTTAGTCGCAGGTAAATTTAAATGCAATCCCTTTCAAAGTGGAAAAAGTCCTAATTCCACATTCATCAGAGCCAGTGATGCTTTAAATATTGATAAACAGCATCTAGTATGTAGTGCTTATAAGATTTGTATTAATGTAGCAAGAAATGCTGCTGTTCTCTTTTAACAAAATGAGCCCTGAAGCTCACATTAAGCATAAAAAAGAGCACGCATATTTTTTGCAAAGGACCAATGAAACTGAAGAATAGTGTCCCTACCAAAGTTGAAATCAAACCTACGCCCTTGCTTTTTAGCAAAACAACTATTACTTGTTTTACCAAAAAATACTTCTTTTTGAAACTTTTTCTTTGTTTGAGATTTTTTCTAACCTAACAAACAAACTGATTTGTAGATTAGGAGAAAAAGGATGGATACAATAACCAGATGAAGATTTATAAAAGCTTAAAGCAAGCCAAATTCAAACATCTCCTCATCCAGTTTGACTTTCTAGAAAGCGGTCATGGCCAAAAATGTCTCCAGATGTGCAAAGCATGTATAGACGGATCCTAAATAATTACACCAACAGGTATGCAAAAGGGGGTGGGGGGGGCTAAAGGTGTACATGCTTGTTGTTGTTTGCAGCAGAAAGTAGGGCTAAATCCAGGAGCTGTGAACTGTGGTGATAAGGCTTTATTTATATTTGTGAAAAGACACCCTGTATATTTTCCTGGAGTAAAAATCAACTGAACTGAAATAGCTTTAAAGGCATTTTCTCTGCATATGAAATGTCCTGTCTTCACTTTGTTTCCCTCTCAGGCTGGTTGGTGGACCTGACGAATGACTTCAGGTCAGCCTTCTACTTCTCAGGCTTCTGCCTCATTACATCAGCAGTGTTTGTTGTCCTTGTCGACCGCCTGGTTCAGAGAAATAAATCTGCAGAGGCATCAGATGATCAACCAACAGGGTGACAGAGAAATCGGTCACTTGGTTACACAAGAATCCTATCTTGAGCTCATTTTAAAGATGGAGTGGATTCTTGCTGCTGGAGGATTGACTCGTTATAAAAATGTCCCAGAAGGCATCTGTTTGGAGGATCTGTAAACGTTTTATTCACCCTAAAAAAAACTATGTATATTTATATAAACTCATATTATTTGTATGCTGATGCAGACTAAATGGAAAACATGGACATTTCTAAAGAAAAGTAACATTTATAGTGTCTATAAGTGGAAAAAAACTGCAATTTGTTTTTTTGTTTTTTTTTTTACTGTATCAAAATCATTCCAGTAACATTTTATCAGCTTGAGGGAGTTGTTATGTTTTGCTGAAAGATGTTATGGGATCAAGATTACCAGAGGAAGCAGTATCGCTGCTTGTTCTGAATTGTTGAAATCTGACTGATTACACAACGCTGAGACAAGGTGGAAGAAATGTAGTGATGGAACTGGCAAAATATCAGGGATATTACTCCGTGCTGCTTAACAAGTCAAAAGCATTATGCTAGCACCATGTTTTATATACAGGGATGCGGACTCCTCTCCTTCTCTTTTATTTAAAGCCATTTGCGTTTTTTTGTAGTCTTAAAAGAAACAAAAACTGATTATACCCATAATAATAATGTTTGTTATTCTTACAAGGTTGAATGTATGAACATGAACATCTGAGAAAAGCCTTTTGTTTTAGTTTGAATTCTTGAAGTTTTTGTCTTTTATTTCCAGCTTTATCCATTTAGAGGCTAAAACCCAACCCCCCCCCCCGACTACAGTTACTACAGTATATTCAAAGGTTCATGTATTTTTTTGTCATGTTTTTCAAAACTTGTTTTAATACATCCTCTGTTGTATTTAAAAAAAAGATCATACTCTTACCAATTTCCAAGAGAATCCTGTATTTTCCCTCTCATCCTAATATTATAACGTGTGCAGTTTTTATGACTTTGTCTCCAACAGAAAGGACAGAATATGTTATCCAGGCCACCGCCAGGACCAGTGTTACCTATAAACAATCAGTACAGATGGAAACTGGAACCATAACAGTTGATTCAACTTCTTTCAGAGTCACAGGCTGTTCTGTCCTATTTCTAGAAATAAACCCATGATTAGTCTGCTGTCATGTGGAAAGCTGTTTAGACTGTGGGGTCCACTTTCTTTTTGTCCTGTGTTAAACAAACGGGTGTGCCTGCTGAGGACAAAAACTAAAGGACAGAGCTGAAGAACTGCAGCAAATTCTCATCTGTGGAACAGATCAACACTGTTGTTCTTATAGGAAATAATTGGATATCTTATGGGGATTAGAAGAGGAATCAGCTGACAGTAATAGCTAATTTAATAGATAATTTAATAAGCTTGGAAGAGGAGACAAAAATCAATTTAGTGTCATTTCAGTTGAGGGATGGATAATGTTTTACGCACAATATGTTTGCTTCGGATGGTTTAATCGAATCATCTTGGTCTTTGTAAGTTTTTACATTCCACTAAAGCGGTTAGCTTCCTCTGGCTGTTTCAAGGGGGGGGGGGGGGCTGGTCCATTCAATCCAGTCAGTCATTGAGGGTCGCTGAAAATTAGCTGTGCTGAAGCAGGAATACCTCTAAAACCTGGGCAAAACCTACCTCTAGACTCTGGGCATGCTGTGTGTAGGGGCTTTAGTGTCCCAGAGTGGTGCTCTGCAGGATTCAAACCAGGCAACCTTCAGCTGTTCCTGAGCTGCTCTCTCACTGTTAAGTGAGAGTGAGTTAAGCCATGACTCCCTTTTTATTACTGGATTTATTTTGCTGGAGACAGACGGTATCTGAACTCAAGTCATATATGGTTTTAAAAACTTGTGCTTGTTGTTTATTCTGGACAATCTAAATTACTTATGGGTTTAAAACAACAGTTTACTCCCAAGAAAAGTTTTAGATGTATTTATATATATATGTATATTTGTTGATGCATAAAACACCTTAGGATTGTGTTAAAAGTGTCCCCTGGGGGGAAAAAAACACACCAATATATTCCAAAATAGCCAGTGAGGTCCTAAATCTTTATGTTTATAGTTAACTTAAAATTTATTTTCACCGTTTCCCTCAAAATTTGAAGTAGGTGGGGTTTGCACAATCAATTTTTTTCCACAATCAAGACTTTTAGTTGATTCCAATTTTTAAATCTGACCTGCAGGGGCAACTGACCTTTTTAGATTCAATGGGTTTTACTTGATAATATAGTTCAGACAATCAAAATGTTTTTCTCATAGAAATATTAAGGAGCAATCAAGGAAAGAAAAAAATAATTTGTACGTTTGGAAAAACTATAATTTAGTGTTATTCGTTTAAGATATTCAAAGCTACTTCACATAGTTTGTTTGAACAGATACAGATTACCTGTTTTATTGCAGAATGTCTGCAGATTATGATTTTGAACTGTGTGAACTCTAACCATGTGTCAAATTAAAATGATACATATCTACACTGGTTTTTAAATGCCTGACTTCTTTATGGACTGCACCCTGCTGTGGTCAAGCCGAACGCTCTTCCCAAACAGCCTGCTGGGGCTCCTTAGGGGGCTGCCTGCCCACCAGAGTGTAAAACCTACACCAGGATTTGCTATGTGCTCTACAATCTGCTCACATGTTCAGAGTGGAGTTATGCAATAACTTTGATGTGTGGTCACACGGTCGAAGGGCTTGCGCTGAAACAGAAACAGTTGGAAAATGATCAGCATCATCGGCATGAGTAATTTCAGGGTTAACTGATCTGAGCCCTTTACATTCTTTGCATCATTTCTGCTGTTGAACTGCTGAGCAGACAAACCAGATAAAGAACGCCTCTCCACTTGGCTTAGGAAAACAAAATCACATTTCTAATTTGTCTGGCTTTGTTTTGTGGCATTAATAAAATGGTGCAAAATACTATTAACTTTGTAACATGCTTTATTTACATGGTACATATAAGACCAGAAAGTTCCATGTTTTCCTCAGTATTTACAGGCCTGAAGGGCTCGGAGTTGAACCCTGCAGCTAACTCTGGCTCAGCTGAGTAATAGGGCAGTTATTCTGAGGAATGTATTGAAATTAGTTTGTGAATGTTTCTCCTTGTCTTGCTTTAATAGGATTTCCCCTCGTTGGTAGAGGGTTCATGTAGAGGATGGGTGCAGACAGATCTGGTCTGACACTTCATAAAAACCACACCTTAATAATATGACGTAGTTTGTTTCTTGGTTTTGTCATGACTCTCTAAAAAAATGGCTTCCTTGAGTAGCGCAGCATATGTTGTGGTTGATAAGTGTTTATTCTATTGGCTGAATTTGAAACTTTGCTCAGTTGCAAACAAATGTTTTACTTTTATAGTCCTTATTTTATTGTGAAGAGACAAAATACAGGGTTTGCCCGGAATCTAACTCTTGCATTTAAAAAAATGGTTTCATGTTGTTCTCCGTGACTTTTGGGGATAATTTATTGTGGCAAAATGACAATGGGATCCATCCATAGACTCTTTAAACAATAGCGCTCCTGAAAACTGATTTTCATGGTTTATTTTAGAAATAAAAATGGAAAAACACGTGTTTTCTAATTTAAATAATTGTTACTTTATTTGTTTTTGTATTTTACAGAGACTTAAATCCTGATAGTCCTAAAATCTTGGCTTAACTTACTGGAAACAACTTTGATTGATGTGAAGCATTTCAGTTTAACCAAACAAGCAAGAACCTGCAGAATCTGCAAGAAGGGAAATCTTTTGTTGATGATACTCTAATTAGTTGAGATCAGGATTATCGGCAGTCGATTAACTGAGGGTAAACTGAGTTCCACACATCTTTGATGAAATAGGTCTCTCCTTTGTAAGGAAACTCTGCTAAGAACTAATTTTCTGCTTTATTTTAAGTGATCAATCTCTAAACTCATAGGAGTGAATGCTTATTGGCACCATGCGGTAAAATAAATGTTTAAAAAAACATGTGTTCTTAAGTTTTAATCTTTAAGGATTTACAAACTGAAAGTGTTTTTCCTTGAAGGACTCATACTGTGGATAACTGAAATCAGTGCTGGATGGTTTGAAAGCTCAGATTTTTTTAACTCTACTATTTTAGATGAACTTTTATATTATATTTGAAGTTTTTAAATGGCTATAAAAAATTGTTTCATGGCAATTATATTTTCTCCAAATGTGTGTGTTGGGGGGGTTGAAGGATGTAAGCCATCATGCTGCTGCACAGCTGCTTATCTTCTACTTATTTCAAAACAGGTAAACAAGACAAACACTTTTAATTCAGAAATTTGTTTTTGACAAAGTTTTTGATAGAAAAACTATTTAGATTAGAAAAAGATTCTTCTACTAGTTTGACATTTTCACAACACTTAAAAACAGCTTACAAAGACGGGTCCATTATTAACAAAACACAAAAACAAACTACCATCTCCAAGGTTTCTTAGGGATCTGGAAAAAATAAGGTAAAATTTCCATTTCGTAGGAAGAATGCGATCAGGGGTATTCTAGACGTTGGAGATCAAAAGACATCAGAAGTTTGTCATGAGAGCATTTGCTTGAAGGGGGAGCTGATTCTTCGAGAAATTGGGGAGCAACAAGCTGCACCCTTTGGTCCTTCTCAGTAGTTCAAGTTGGGATGAGTCTGAGGCAACCCTGCCGCAGTCATACAGCCCTTCACCCCAATGTCCAATTTTTAGACTACAACAGATCTTACTTCTGATCCATTTTACTTGATCAATCATGTTTGGGGTAACAGAGCAGACTCTGGAATGGTTCATGATTGGTTAGAAGAAATTAACCACAGTCGATGGGATGTTTAAACCCATCATCTCTTTAAAGGCCAGTTTTGTTCCAGTCTTTCATCCTTTGCCATGCAGGTCTGTCTTCAGGCTTACACTTGCCATGAGTTCATAAGTGATGGAAGTCGGAGCTTTTATTATTGTCCACATCAGCTGGACATTGAGACGGCGCTGCTGACTGCATCTACGAGGAGGCTCTCTTCTCCTCATATGGGGACTCATAGACCTCCATGGGTGGGCAGGTGCACACAAGGTTCTGGTCGCCGTAGATGTCGTCAATCCTTGAAATGGTTGGCCAGAATTTGGTCTCAGGTCTTATGAAGGGCTGTTAAAAGAAAAGGGAAA